GTACAAAGGGCACCCTTACTATTTAAAAAATCCGGGGTCGCGAGTAGAACTCGAGAGTCGCAGGCTAAGTGGACCCTTCGACTACACGCACCGGAGCATAAACCCTAAACCCTAAACCCTCAACCCTAAACCCTCAACCCTAAACCCTAAACCCTAAACCCTAAACCCTAAACCCTAAACCCTAAACCCTAAACCCTATAAACCCTAAACCCTAAACCCTAAACCCTAAACCCTAAACCCTAAACCCTAAACCCTAAACCCTAAACCACACCCAAAGCCGCGTTTTGGAAGTGCCAGGCCGCGTGGTTCATCCTCGAAGTCCCAGGGGGCCAGGAAGCCGTCAGGGAGTTTTCAGGGGGGCTTCATGGGGTTTTTCTAGGTTTAGGGTTTAGGGTTAAGGGTTTAGGGTTCAGGGTTTAGGGTTTAGGGTTTAGGGTTTAGGGTTTAGGGTTTGTGTGTTTTTGGTTTGGGTGTTTTGGTTTGGGTGTTTTGCTTTGGAGGCTTTGCGGTTTTGTTGCTTGAGAGGGTTTGAGCTTAAGGATTTCTTGAAGCGCCCTTCTTTAGGATCTAGCCCCGTCCCCTAGTATTAAAACCCGTATAAATCTCCACCGAATTAGCGGGGGGGGGGGGGGGGGGGGGGGGTGTGAAACCTAGTAGCACTAAGGCTTGAGACATCTGAAGCTTTAACCCTTCAGTTCCCCCTAACTCTCACTCTTAAACTTACAACCAAGTGTAAGCCCGAAGGCTTGAGGCTCCCTAAAGCCTAAACAAAGACGGGCTTAGGGTTTAGGGTTTAGGGTTTAGGGTTTATTGTTTAGGGGATCCCCCCCCCCCCCCCCCCCGCAAGTACGAAAGCCCTGTTACAGGGGGGAGGGGGGTTTTTATATTCGGGGAAGGAATAAGTTGGTTTTTGGCAGAACCTGGCTGTAGCCGCAATGCCACGACTCAATGCGCCCTCGAAGCTCTTTAACTCAAAGCTGTGTCTAGAAACAGCTGCGGATACCTGAGGTTGTGAAGGAGCAGCCTCAAGTATATGTGTACATATATATATATATAAATATACTTATATATACACATTTTCTGTGTGTATGTATGCACAAAAACAAGGATTGAGTGTTTCAGGGTTTGGGTTTAAGGGTTCAAGGACTTGGAGTTCAGGGTTTCGAGAAGAAACGGGCGCTTTGCGCACAGCTGCATGACTGTATATAAGCATGCAGTGGTCGGAATCTCTTTGGCGCAGCCAAACCTTGCATGGGCAGTTCTCTAGGTGATGCTCGTTTTGGGGGGCTACTATTGCTCCATGACTACACACACACCGAGCCTTTATTACGCCTAAAGCCTAGACCTGCCTAGACCCGAAGCAGCACTCTAAACCCTAAATCCCAAAGCCTGCGTCAGGAGAACGCCATCTCGCTCCCGGGCAAGAAGGGCAGCTTCGTTCAACTGCAGCTGCAGCCATCATCGCATCGGACGGGCAACACCTGGCATATCCAGGCGACTCAGAATGTATGAGGGGCTTAAGGTTTAGGGTTTAGGGTTTGGGGTTTAGGTTTAGGGTTTAGGGTTTAGGGGGGTTTAAGGTTGCAATCGAGGGGGGCCCGTGTAGCCACGTAGCAATTGGCAAAGACAGGAAGACCTGGAAACCCTACAGCGCACACTAAACCTTCTAAACCCTGCCTCCTACTAAAGCCTAAACCCCCAAACCTGAATTAAACCCTAAACCCCTAAACCCCAAACCCCCTTCAGTCTCAGGGTGGCACCCAATCAACCCTGTCAACCCTACAGCGCAGCGGCTCCGCCCTCAGCTCCCCGTACCTGTGACAAACCCTAAACCCTAAACCCTAAACCCTAAACCCTAAACCCTAAACCTTAAACCCTAAACCCTAAGCCCTAAACCCTAAACCCTAAACCCTAAACCTTGACCCTGAACCCTAAACCCCGGATCCCAAAGGTTTCTCTCCAACGAGAGTTCGGGGTTTTGGGCTTTGGGTTTGGGATGCCAAATAACCCCAATGTACCGCTATCTGCCCCATCATTAAAGTTTGCAGGGTTTAGGGCTGAGGGTTTAGGGTTGAGGGTGTAGTTTGTTCACGCACAAACGCCATTAAACCAAAAAAGTCACCCAATTTTCCTTCATACGTTCTAGGCAACACCTTGTCTCATGATACCCCTACACCCTAAACCCTAAACCCAAAACCCACTGGAACAGCTTTGCCCAGAGGTGACAACTGCCTTCCCCATGGAGGGCTTGCGCTACGCCTGGCGCGTTGATCCAGCCGCGCCGTCGCAAGAGATGGGGTTCTAAACTACGGGCTTTTTTGTTGGGTTTAGGGTTTAGGGTTTGAGGTTTGGGGTTTGGGGTTTAGGGTTTAGGGTTTATATAGGGTTTAGATTCTTCATCACAGTTTACTCCTCTATGATTTTGGGTCTCTATTGACGCTATTGCTGTAAACTCTCCGGCGCATCACCACCTAACATATTATTACATTGCAAATATACGATTATAACAATGTATCATATTATCAATAAATAAAGGATTTTCTGTATTTTTTATTTCACCAATTAATCCATCAATACACTCAACAGTATAATCAACAGCTGGAGTTAATGGATATCGGCATGTAAGATTTGTTGATGGATCAATACCATTTTATTTGAATAAAATGGACAAGTTTCTGGATAACCAACCTTACGCGTGAGGGTATCAACAATGGCCCGTCGCCTGGCAAGCTGCTTGACTAACCCTAGACCCTAACCCCTAAACTCTAAGCCCTAAACCCTAACCGCAAGAGAAACCTCAGGCTTTGTCGACTCCTTTATGTTTATGTGGCTTTCCTAAACCCTAAACCCTAAACCCTAAACCCTACCTAGACCCTAAACCCTAAACCCTAAACCCTAAACCCTAAACCCTAAACCCTAAACCCTAAACCCTAAACCCTAAACCCTAAACCCTAAACCCTAAACCCGAGGAGATGTTTACAGACGACGGGGAGCCGGACCTCACGGAGAACTCCGTCCTCGACCCTTGTGGTCGCTGCCTGACCTCCGGAGGTGCCACCCAAGGGTTCAGGGTTTAGGGTTTAGGGTTTAGGGTTTAGGGTTTAGGGTCCACGACTTGAGCATTTAGGGTTTCTAGGGTTTCTAGGGTTTTTAGGGTTTTGCGGGGTTTGCAGTGGGAGGTGCGGGTAGGGTTGATAAGTAGGGCTATTCGCACCCCAAGTGGGGTATGTATAGGCAGCTATAGCTGCAGACATGGGCAACAGCCCGTTCCAGCCTCTAAGATGGAGTCTGTCGACAATTTGATCATCGAACCGGCGCTTAGGGACAGGTCCCCGACTCCACGCCACGTCCCCCAAGAACACAAGACACACTGCAGCAACACGGGGGGTTGCCGAAAATAATATAGACCCAAATAGTAGGACTCCCTAATAATAAGGGCCCCAATAAGGTACCCCTAAACCCTAAACCCTAAACCCTAAACCCTAAACCCTAAACCCTAAACCCTAAACCCTAAACCCTATACAAGCTCCCCAAGGTGCAGACAGCTGGAACAAGCGCGGCGAGGACATCAAATTCGCCCCAATGTTTCCCGGCAGCGCTTGCACGAAGCACCACTTGGGGGGCTCCTATGGGCCTATGGGGCTCTCCGAAATGGGGTTTGGGGTTTGGGGTTTGGGGTTTGGGGTTTGGGGTTTGGGGTTTGGGATTTAGGGTTTGGGGTTTGGGGTTTGGGGTTTGGGGTTTGGGGCTTGCAGAGAAATTTCAACGTAGGCTTCTGTATGGAAAGGACCCCCCTATTTCACACGCAGCCCCTTCTGGCTGAACCCGCCAAGCTCATGAGATTCCCTAGGAAGGCGAACGAAGGGTCATTATCTCGGGATCCTATGATCAGCACTAACAACAGGCCCAAACCCTAAACCCCAAATCATAAACCAGAAAACCCTGAACCCAAAACCCTCAAAACCCTCAAAAGCCCAACCCTCAAAACCCTCAGAAACCCTCAAAACCCCTCAGAAACCCTCAACACCCTCGAAACCCGCGAACTCCTTGAAACCTTGTTCAGGCCCCCCAGCATCGCAAATATGCAAGAAGCGAGCTGAGGTCGGTGATCCCCAATTTTCGTGCGCTCGACTCTTTTGATTGGCAAGGCGCCTTGTTGGGTGCGAAGCAGGGGCTGAGGGGGAAGGAGAGTTGTGTTTAGAGTGTATAGGGGTTAAAGAGTTTAAAGGTTTGGGGTTTAGGCTGCAGGGTCTGCTAGGGTTGAGGGTATGGAGTAGAGGGCTTACAGGGTCTGGGGTTTGGGGGTTTTGGGTTCAAAGCTAAGAATGACAGTGAAGCCCGACGTGATCGTTTTTCAAATGATGGCCCCGAGCCCCTGCGCTAGGTGTCACCTCCCCGGGATACGCGCTGAAGGACCTGGTTATCTACGAGGCCGCCGCGCACTGTAAGGTTCAGGGTTGAGCGCGTAGACCGCCCAAACCCCAAAACCCAAACCCCAAGCCCCAACCCCAAACCCCAACCTCCAAAACCGTGCCTCCAAAGCCCCCGAACCCTAAGATTAACCTTACAGGTCTGACTGCGTTTATACAGTTTAGAGAAGTTTCGAGGGTCTGGAGGTCAGCTCAGCGCTGTATGGGGGGAGAGCTCATAGGCAGTTGAGTTTGAGGACCTGCACCATGGGCCCTTGAAATCGTCCAAACTTGCTTGCCGAGACCCCCAACGATTGTAGGGAGCTTACAGCTCAAGAGTAGCCCAGCTGTGCAAGCCAATAGCCCGCAAGACAAAGATGATCAAGTTCCGTTCCGTGCGTGCATTCCGTTCCGTTCCGGCCTCCGGGGGTGGCAAGTGGCACCCAGCCCCTCGAGACAGAAACCCAACCCTTCGGCTGTTGGAGTTTTAGAGCTTGCAAATAAGCCTAAACCCTAAACCCTAAACCCTAAACCCTAAACCCTAAACCCTAAACCCTAAACCCTAAACCCTAGATAAACCCTAAACCCTAAACCCTAAACCCTAAACCCTAAACCCTAAACCCTAAACCCTAAACCCTAAACCCTAAACCCTAAACGACCCAAAACCCAAGATCGACTCATGCTTTGTTGGCGTGCCGTTCAGGTTTGGGTTGCAGGGTGATCCCGTACGGCCCCATGTTTGAGTTTGGGCTGAGACTAAAACAGCAAACCAAGAAACTCCGAAAGCCTCTCTTGATATGTGTATGTGCATATTTTCGGAAGCGGATATATGTATGTTCATATATGATGCAAGGGTTTTAGGGCTTAAGGGGCTTAGAGGCTTTCGCCCTCAACCTTTCTTTTCACAGGCCCACGTCCGAAGCTTCACCAAGCACAAAGACAGTGGTGTGAAGAGCACGCACGCCGGCACGTTCCTGGGATTTATCGCCGCCTGGACAGCAGAAAGCCACTTTCCTCCTCCCCGAGTCTAGGGTTCAGGGTTGCGGCTTTAGGTTTCGGAGCTTACATATTCTGTGTCCCTGTAGCTCCTAAACAAAGTAGACCTTTTGCTCAAGGCTGCACCAGATCACGGCCCAAATCCCCCAAACCCAAGAACCCTAACCCGCTACACCCCACACCAGACATCTTGCATACGTTTAGCACGCGGAGCAGATGTACCGTCTGGGGGCTGTGGAGCATGCGGCGCAGGGCGTTTTGGGCTTGTAGGGTCCAGGCTAGAAGTTCTGGCGCATGAAAGCTCCCAGGCCTATGATTCTTGCGACGGAGGTAGGACCGACCCTCCGACTATTGCAAGCTCAGGAGAAGATTCCTCACTTGGTGAGCTTGGGCATCAACTGTATCGGGCTCAGCTTGTCTCCACACGCACGCGAAACCACCCTTGATGCGAGTCTATTTTTCAATTGCATATCTTGGGGTTTCGGGGGTCTTGGAATAAGAGTTGCTGTTTTTTGAGGTGAGGAGCACCCCTGAATTTTGGAAATCCCATCGGAAGCGCACTTGGAGGTTCAGGGTACTTAGTAACCCACCCAGTTATAAGTGCAGTTATAACCCACTTATAAGCCCTTTAAGTACCCCTAATAGGGCTATAATTGGGTTATATGTACACTTATAGGGCTATAATTGGGTTATAAGTACACTTATCCCTAAACCCTAAACCCTAAACCCTAAACCCTAAACCCTAAACCCTAAACCCTAAACCCGAAACCCTAAACCCTGAACCTCCAAGCTGACCCGAAGGTGTCGAGCTGCTTCCAATCTTCGAATTCGATGAGAGCCAGGTGGCGAGGCCAAGAAAAGCTGGGTTTTAGGGTTTAGGGTTTAGGGTTTAGGGTTTAGGGTTTAGGGCCAGTTTGGGGTTTAGGGTTAAGGGTTTAGGGTTCAGGTGAGCATCGGGTGATCTATCTCATGCGTGCAAGCCATCTTCCTTCGAACTGGTTTGCAGCAGTACCTGAACTCCTTCGTAGTCATCGTAGTGATAAATAGGGTTCTCCTCCTTGAGGTACAACCGTGACTGCCCTGCCAACCCTAAACCCTAAACCCGAAAAGGGGGGCAGGTCTTGAAGCACGGAGCTGCCAAGGTCCCGCTGGTTCACCCCAAGACTGGCGAGTTCTTGTGCCAGTACTGGGGCTACCAGACTTGCGCCCCGGAAGCGTGTTCCGGGTTTAGGGTTTAGGGTTGTGGGTTGTGGGGTTTAGGGGTGTTCAGGGTTTAGGGATTTAGGGTCTTGGGGTTTAGGGTTTTGCGGCTGAGGGGTTTGGGGTTTAGAGTTTAGGCTTTGGAATTTTCAGGGTTTAGGGTTTAGAATTTGCAGGGTTTAGGGCTTAGAATTTTCAGGGTTTCGGGTTTAGAATTTTCACTGTTTAGGGTTTAGAATTTTCAGGGTTTAGGGTTTAGAATTTTCAGGGCTTTTAGGGTATAGGCATAGGGCTCTCTGGCGTCTGTATGACCACGAGTAGCGAAGAACCCTAAACCCTAAACCCTAAGCCCTAAGCCCTAAACCCTAAACCCTACACCCTAAACCCTAAACCCTAAACCCTAAACCCTAAACCCTAAACCCTAAACCCTAAACCCTAAACCCTAAACCCTAAACCCTAAACCCTAAACAAGCAGGTGCCTACTACGTGCCGATGCAGCGCTTCTCGGTCCATGCGGGAAAGCAGGCCTGGGCCGCCATCGCAGCTTGGCTTTTGAGGGTTTTAGGGTTTAGGGTTTAGGGTTTAGGGTTTAGGGTTTAGGGTTTAGGGTTTAGGGTTTAGGGTTTGATTAGAGTTCAGGGTGCAGGGTTTAAATGGGGGTCTAGGGTTTAAGGTTTAGGTTTAGGGTTTAGGGCTCTGAGGGTAGTAGTTTCATGGGCCCTTAATATAGTCCCTAATCTCCTTTTTACGGTTCTAGAGTAAAAAAGGGGTATATAGGAAGGTTCTTGGGGTTTTTATAAGCAAGGGTTATCAGAAGCCATTTAAGAAAGGGTTAAGTTTGAATACCATAATGAGGAGTTTTGGGTAGCTGTGTGAAATTCTAAGGGTAGCTTCATGGGCCATGGTCCCTAACCTCCTTTTTATGGTTCTGAAGTTGTATAAGGTATACAAGGGGTATGTAGGAAGGCTCAGGGGTAGTGAGAAGCCAGAGTTATTAGACGCCCTTTTAAGATAAGGTTAAGTTTTTGAATGCCATAATGAGGGGTTTTGAGTAGTGAAAAAGAACCGTTATAAGAACCCCAAGTATGGCGACAGGACCGTTATAATCGGAACCCCACCAAGTATGGCCATGACCAGTTTTGACTTTTGTTACCCTCCCTAGTCACATCTCCAGTTCTCAATACGCATGAACCTCCCAGTAGCATAAAAGAGTTCGGCATTCACGGTTTTTCAGGTTTAGGGATTCCCCCCCCCCCCCCCCCGACTGAGAAGGAAAGAATGCTCATATGGCATATGCCATATCCATGTTCTGGTAACCTCGGTTATGTTGAAACCCTCAGCCTTAATTAAGCCCCAAAGCCTAAACCCACGACTTCACCCGGCCTTAACCCTAAACCTGAACCTGAACCCCAGACATGAAACCCCGAGCCAGAAACCCTGAAGCCCTAAAACCTGAACCCTACCTTGAACTCCGAAAGTTCTAGAAGCCCTGCAACCGCTACAAGCCCTCCCTGTCAACCCAACAAGCCCTAGAACTCCTTTTCTCGGAGGCTCATCGTACTCATTACCCCTCATTGTAACTGCACTTATAGCCCGTTTTGCAGAACAAGATTAGGGTAATCACTTGGAGGCTGGGTTACAGATGCACTTGTACTTGGGTTATCACCTTGAACCTCCCTAAACGCTAAACCCTAAACCCTAAACCCTAAGCCCCTAAGCCCTAAACCCTAAACCCTAAACCCCAAACCCCAAACCCTAAGCCCTATCATTCGCAAACCAAGGTCGAGTTCAAGACCTTGGTACGCGAACTCCACAGAAACGGCATCGAGGCGTCGGGGTGGCCGAGGGCTTGACGGGGGGCAAAGTGTCGACAAGGCTTCTTTTGTTATGGGGTTTAGGGTTTAGGGTGTAGGGTTCAGGGTTTAGGGTTTAGGGTTGAGGGCTTTTGCAAAGTTATTCTGTTTCATGGTTAATGGTTGTTTACAAGTGCATTCATCAGGTTTGCATCATCGTTCCTGTTAAAAGATGCTTGTAGAGTGATTGTCTTCATGGGGCTTAGGGTTTGCTTTTAGGGGCCGGGTTGAGGGTTCAAGGCTTAGGGTTTAGGGTTCAGGGTTTAGGGTTTAGGGTTTAGGGTCTAGGGTTTAGGGCTTGGAGCTTTCGGACTTTAGACTTTAGGGTGTTCGGGTACGGGGAAGAGCTCCAAGACCGAGCCAACGCTCAGGATTTCAAGACCTTCAAGTAAACCCCTCCCGCTAGCCCCACATCCTACATCATGATCCCGCTAATCCTATATCGAGGGCTTCGAACTGGACTAGGAACTTTTTGAAGGGGCTCTGCCGAAATCTTCAGCCCTCAGCCCTCAACCCTAAGCCCTCAACCCTCAACCAAAAACCTCCTCAGGTTGTGCTCGACGTTGTCTTCAACCACACTGGCGAAGGGGCCTGGGGCTACCTCGCTCAAACGGTCCCGTTGATCGGGCACAGGGTCTGGGCTGGGTTTCGGGTTTAGGGTGTAGCTTTCCCAAACCCCAAAACCCTAGTGAGTCCTTTCTGCTTCGGAAGGTTGCAGCTTGTGGAGCCGGAGCTCTAGATTGTCCCCCTGGTTATGACTCGGGAATGGGGGAATTCGGTACCCTATCTATTTCTTGAAAAGGGTATATATGGGGGTTTGCGAGAATCAGGATCCCCAATATAGACCCCCAACTAGTAGGATTCCCTCTTTCATAAGGACCCCAATAAGGTACCCCTCGGACGCCCCCCCATATAGGCCTACTGAGAACTGTTAAGGCGTTTCGCTGCTAGAGGTCCTGAGCCCCTCGGGGTTTAGGGTTTAGGGTTTAGGGTTTAGGGGTTTTTAGGGCTCAGGGTTTTCGGGTTTGGGCCTTTGGGCTTTGGTTCTTTGTAAATGTTGTGAAACCTATGACGCACACAGGTGCATTGTTCAATAGAATATGTGGGATTTGGTTTTAAGGCTTGCGGTTGAAACAACTGTTTAGAGCAATCAGCATTGCGATGTCTTGTCTTAAGCCCGCCCTAAACACGCCAAGGCTTGAAAATCATGCGAAAGCAGTTGCTTAGGGTTTGGGGTCTACGGGGTCAATAGGGTGTAGGGTCTACAGGGTTAGCAGAGAGTGGGGTCTATCGGGTTTTGTTTATGGGCTTTAGGGCCGACGGCCACGCCCGCCCCCTCATTTGAGACACCTGCCGCAACACAGGCTGCAGCAACTGGAACTGCTTGGCCAAGATTGCTGCGAGCGCGCGCCTTAAGGAGGGTTTAGAATGTAGGGGTTTAGAGTACAAGTGTTTAAGGGTTTAGGGGTTTAGGGTCTATAGGGCAGCAGAGGTCTGTCATACGTGGGTTTTTCATTCAATGGATCGAAGTCTGGTGATAGAAGAGCCCATCGTGTGATACCTGCCCGCAAACGTTTAGGTCGACCTTGTTCCTAAACCTGTATATGGAAACCCTCAAAAAGCGTTTAGGTTTTGCCTAAACCCAAAACCCTTTAAGGAAACCCGTATAAGGTCACTACTACCTGCTTTCGAACGGCTACCACACCAACTACACCGGCTGCGGTAACACAGTGACGCTGGGAACTGACCATCCAGGGATGAGGTAGGTTTTGGGTTTCGGGTTTAGGGTTTAGGGTGTAGAGCTTAGGGTTTAGGGTTTAGGGTGTAGGGTTTAGCGTGTAGAGTTTAGGGTTTCGGGTTGAAGGTTTAGAGTGCAGGGTTTTGGGTTTAGTAGGGAGAGAGAGAGACAGAGAGTCCAAGCGGGCCGTCGTGGCCGGGGTCCTTCCGCAAGGGGGGCCTCTTCGCTGCGCAGAAGAAGAAGAAGAAGAAGAAGAAGAAGAAGAAGGTGCGAGGCCTACACCCTGAGCCGAAAAATGGTGCAGATGATGTCTTGGTTTCCAGAATGGGCTTGGGGGGGGACAGATGGTTATGGTGGTGGTGGTGGTGGTGGTGGTGGTAGTGGTGGTGGTGCTGGTGCTGGTGGTGGTGGTGCTGGTGGTGGAGTGGTGGAGTGGTGGAGTGGTGGAGTGGTGGAGTGGTGGAGTGGTGCAGTGGTGGAGTGGTGGAGTGGTGGAGTGGTGGAGTGGTGGAGTGGTGGAGTGGTGGAGTGGTGGTGGGGGTGGTGGAGTGGTGGTGGTGGTTATGGTGGTGGTCGTGGTGGTGGTGGTGGTGGTGGTGGTGGTGGCGGTGGTGCTGGTGCTGCTGCTGCTGCTGCTGCTGCTGCTGCTGCAGCTGCAGCTGCAGCTGCACGTGCGGCATTTCTGCCGAGGCAATGTGTTGCAGCTTGACATGTTGCCGCTGAGTGTGGTGCGGTGAGGCGCATGTCATGGTTTGGTGATTGCCTGCAGCCTTTGTCTAAACCCTGAACCTTTACCCAAAACCCTTAGCCACCTAAACCCTAAACCTTTCAACCCCTCATGTGGGCCATGCACAGCATGTTCCATCACTGTCTGCAATGCCTTCTCGCTGTTTCGTACAGTCCAGGCAGTGTTTGAGTAAACAACTTCATGGTTTGTCACTTGGCAGTTTCCTGAGGAAACGCTTTGACCCACATGCAACGCCCGCGCCGTGTGCCATACAGCAGACACCACTCCAGGCAATTTGGAATGCTTATTACAGGAAAGGCAGGCACTGACACCTGCACTGGATATTCCATCGCTCTTTCTTTCAATCTCATTAATTCAATTCGCTATTTTCTTCGTCCGAATCCTTCGTCCGAAGTGTCCGCAGACTGCTTGCATAAACCCTACAACCCCTAAACCCCTAAACCTCAAACCAACACCTCAAACCGAACCCTAAACCCCAAACGCTAAACCCTTAAACCCCAAACCCTAAACCTTTAAACCCTTAAACCCGGAAACCCTAAACCCTGAAACCTTAAACACTTTTTCCCAGACCCTAAACCCCAAACCCTAAACCCCTAAACCCCTAAACCCCAAACCCTACACCCCAAACCGTTAGTTAATCCCTAAAACCCTAATCCCCAAACCCCTGAAACCCAGCCATAAACCCGGAAACCCTTAAGCCCTTCAACTCTAATGTTTCAGGAACGCCAAGTTACCCTCAATGCCTTAACCCTCAAACCCTCAAACCCTCAAACCCTTAAATCCTTAAACCCTAATACTTGAAACCCTCAACCCTAAACTCTAAACCCTCAAACTTGGACCTGAAGCCCCTCAACCCTCAACCCTAAACCTTAAACCCTCAACCCTCAACCCTCAACCCTCAACCCTCAACCCTCAACCCTAAACCCTAAACCCCAAACCCTAAACCCTAAACCCCAAATGGATTCAGGAACGCCAACAACCCCAACTGCGCAGAGTGGATCGTCGACTGCTTGCGCTACTGGGCCCTCGAGATGCACGTGCCTTGGCAGCAGGCCGCACTTGAGGGCCCTAAGAAACTTAAGAGGGTTTAGGGGTTCAGGGTTTAGGGTTTAGGGCTTAGGGTTTAGGGTTTAGGGTTTAGGGTCTAGGGTCTAGGGTCTAGGGTCTAGGGTTTAGGGCTTGATATTCTGCCTTGTGCGACATGCTTGTGCATGTCGAGTCCTTGCCTCCGCATGGCACTAGAGCTCCATCTCTTACTCATGATTCCTTGCACACAAAGGCAAAAGGATTCAACACAACGCAACCGCCTTCTGAAGGCCTCCTCCCTTGAACCCCCGCAAACCCTAAGTCAGAACTCCTCCAAGCCCCAGACCCTAGGCGCCTTCTGAAGGCTTTGCTCCCTTAACCCCCCAAAACCCGAAGCCAGAAACCCCCAAACCCGAAACCCTAAGCCCCTTCTGAAGGCCTCCTCCCTTAAGCCCCCCAAACCCTAAACCAGAAAGCGTGATGAAAGTACGAGAGGCGCTGCTTCAAGTGTTGTTTCTTCCTATTCGGCCCGGAGGCTGCCAGAATTCTCGGCTGTTCAGAGTCCTGGGGTTGAGGGTTCCCCAAACCCTAAACCCTAAACCCTAAACCCTAAACCCTAAACCCTAAACCCTAAGGCCTGAGAGCCCTTAAGGCCGTACAGGGAACTCCTAAGCCAACAACCCCATGCGCTTGTGCAAAGGTCGACGGCTTCCGGTTTGACCTGGCCTCTTCGCTGACGCGTGGAAGTCGCATGCTCAATTTAGGGTTTAGGGTCTGGGGTTTAGGGTTTAGGGTTTGGGGTTTCGGTTTTGGGGTTTGGGGTTTGGGATTTAGTGTGAAGAGATGTTTACAGTTTAGGCCGCTGAGTCGCGTGCCGTTGCGGGCCCGAGGGGCTTCCCCCCTCCAGTCCAGTCATGAGTGCTGTAGGAAGCTATCCGATTCATATAGAACCCTCAGGGAATATCAGGGTCTCCAAAATTCCGGCACCTTATCGGGGTTCGAATTTTTTAGGGATCCTACTGTGTGGGGATCACCCCCATATGTAGCAATGGCTTCATGACGGTAAGGGGACCAGAGGGACGAGGGTTCGACATGGATTTCGCTTGGTGCTGGAATGTGTGGACGTGGAATCTCTTCAACGTCCTGACCTAGAAGATAGCATATCACTAATGATGGTATTCTACGTTCCATCGTCTTTTAGGGAAAGAACTATAGGATTCGCTAGGTTAGATGCCTTTTTTCGCTTACATAAACCTCAAGGGAATCCGTAAACAAACTACAAACCCTCTACCCTAAACCCTAAACCCTAAACCCTAAACCCTAAACCCTAAACCCTAAACCCTAAACCCTAAACCCTCCTCAACCTGAATGCAGAGCGTGTCTGTCGAGGTGATGGCCAGTGCATGCCGGACTGCTCACAGCAGTGGGGCATCTTCCACTTTCGGATTTAGGGTTTAGGGTTTGGGGTTTAGGGTTTAGGGTTTAGGGTTTAGGGTTTGGGGTTTGGAGGTTTATTTAAGGTTGATTTAGGGGTTTACTTACAAAGTTTTTATTTTGGGGTTAGGCGAATGAATGCCCAACCCGAAAGACACAGATACCATCAAATGCCCGCTTGAGTCCCAAACCTCATGTCGAAACTGATGACTCACTTCTTACCTCAAGCCCACTGCGAATTCGCATGTGACAACTGCCCAGATCTTACGAATGTCCTAAAGGTAGTGTGGGGTACTATTTGGGGGAGTTCTACTTTTTGGATCCTCCCAGAGGTCTGGGTGAAGGTCTCTGTAAGACAGTGCCGCTTTGGGATTGCGTTGCTGGTTCCTGGTCTGCCACTCTCCAAAACGTCAGACATCTCCTCCTACAGTTGTTCAGATAGCCACACCCGAAACCCCTAAAGCCCCCAACAAACGCTGCCCTAGAAACCCCATAAGCCCGAAATATACCCCGGAACAAGCTTTCAACAAGCCCGTTAAGTCGACCATCCAAACACCTCAAATCAGCTCACAAGCGCCTGAATAACTTGAATAAACTGAATAAACCGGAAGAAACCCAAAATAAACAACTGGACCCTCAAACCCTAAACCTTACCCCCCAACCTTCTGAACTTTTGAGCCTGAACCGCCCCCAGCCCACCCCTCCCCCCTTTTCTCCTCCCACCCCCGTTTTCCCCCCTGCCCCCCGTTTCACCCCCTGCCCCCCCCGCTCCCCCACCTTCCCTCCTCCCCAATCCCGCGTATCGTTGAGGACCCGCCGCTGATCAACCGCTTGACGAACGACCCGTGCCTGCAGCACGCGACTTGATTAATCTAAATCTAGGGCTTGGGGGAGATCCAAGGGATTGGGGGGTGGTGCGTGTGAGTTTTTTTAGGGGGATTGGGGGTTTTGGGGGAAAGGGTTGCCGAATGTAGGGGGTACAGGGTTGAGAGACCTGGATTTAAGGGGCTGAGGGGTTTGGGGCTGTGGGGTGTAGGGTTGGGGCTTGAGGGTTTTAGGCTTTAAGGGGTTTCGTCTCCGCAAATCTGGGGCGCCTTGTTTTGGCCGTTCCTGCAATGAGTTGTGGGGTATATGGGTTTGGGGGCCTGTGTTATCCAGAAGAAGGTATGTACTGTCGTTCTCGATATATATATATATAGATACATACATACATACATACATACATACATACATACATACATACATACATACATACATACATACATACATACATACACACACACACACATACATACACATATGTATATGTGTGTGTACATATATATGTATATATATATATATATATATTTTTCATCGTATTATTTAAGGGGGGCTTGTTCACTCATAATGTTCTTTTCGGTCATGTGCACAGCATGCCGTCCTCCGGAGGTGAAGCTCATTGCAGAGCCCTGGGACTGCGCCTGGCCAGATGGTGCCCTGGGCTAACACCGGTTTAGGGTTTAGGGTTTAGGGTTTAGGGTTTAGGGCCTAGTTTAGGCCTCTTAGGGCTTAGTAAGCCCTCACCCCTGAAATTTCGGGTTTAGGATAGTCTCCTGCAAACTCTGGCCTCCGCCCTGAACCCCGTTCCTTCGGCAGGGTACCTGGTGGGGCAGTTCCCCTGTGGGGGTGTGCCCCGCTGGGCGGAGTGGAATGGCAAGCGGCGTTCTCAGCCTTTGCCTGTGTCCTTGGTGTGTAGGATTGAGGGTTGAGGGCCGAGGTTTGGTTGATGAATCGAGGACGGGAGATTATGAGCCCTTTTGTACACCTGAGCCCTCAACCCTACACACCCTCTCCGTTATTTCAGGTCTACTCCTCGTTTCAGGTTACTTGAATCTACGGGTTCCTGTTTGAGGCCATGGCAGAACATGGTTAAAGTGCCTGCGGGCCCTTGACTAGGTTTACCGTTGGATCACGGACATGAGCCCTGAAACCCTCAATCCTTGTCCCTGAAGCCCTGAGGACTCTTCTTTTGCTCAAGGCCTTCTTTTTTAATGTTGGACCTGCTTTAATAAGTTACCCCCCCCCCCCCCTCAACAGTCGCGACCCTGAATAAAAAAAGACCCCAAACAGTCAGGCAGGGGAGGGGTCCGGAGCCCGGAGGCCTCCCTAAGCTACCCCCCGACCCTGGAAAGGTCGAGGCTTCAGGCTTCAAGTATCCCTTCTTCTCGAGAAAGCTTATGCCTTCCTGAAAACCGAAGGACTGAGCCCCGGGCCCCGGGAGACTTGCATTATAGCGGGCCCCCAAACAAAGGTATTAAAGTGTGTCCGGAGGCCTCCGTAAGGTACCCCCTTTCCGGATATGATTCGCCTATGGAATCATCTGGTTTTAAGTAAGGAATTTATAAAGAAAAGGCGCCCTGAACAAAGAAGATTGTCGGAGATCCTGGACAGGTCGAGGCTTCAGGCTTCAAGTATCTCTCCTTCTCGAGAAGCTTATGCCTTCCTGACACCCTCAAAAAAACAGTCACGGCCCGAAAACTTTTCATTGTAGCGGACCTCCAAAACAAAGGGTCCAGATCCTGAATAGCCGAAAAACTTTTCATAATAGCGGCCCCCTAAAATATTGCGGGTGCAACATTAAAGGGTTTTGGGCTGTTTGAAGCCTAAGGGTGTGGATTGAAGAGTTCCTTCTTCCGGCATCTCTCTTCACCGTCTGGGTTCTCCCTGAACCTACCTCGTAGTTTCAGGAATGTTCTGTAAATCTTGGATAAATACTACTTGCCTCAGGGGCCCCAGCCATGAGCCTCAAAGCCCTAAAACCCCAAGCGGCCCTTGGGCCTAAACCCCAAACCCTAAACCCTAAACCCTAAACCCTAAACCCAAACCCTAAACCCTAAACCCTAAACCCTAAACCCTAAACCCTAAACCCTAAACCCTAAACCCTAAACCCCTTAGGCCTAAACCCTAAGACCCTACGTAAGCCCCCTAAAGACGGACTCTGAACCCCAAACGCTAAGCTGTGGCCCGAAAAGCGGCCCTAACCCCGAACCCAACACCCCGCAACCCTAAACCCTAAAACCCCTAAGACCCTTAAGCCTCTAATTGGGATGTTCCCCCTTGTACTAGCAGTCTTTGATGGGGATCTATAAGGAATGAAAGTACCCTCCCAGTAGAACCCCGAACCCTAAACCCCCAAACCTAAACCCCAAACCCTTAAGACTCGAAACTCTAAGACTGGGTCTTGGGCACCAAACCCCTCAAAAACGCCCTGAAAAACCCTCAAAAACCCCTCAAAATAAACCCTAGGGTTAAACCCTGAACCCTAAACCCTAAACCCTTCAAAAACCCTTCTCTTTACCTGCGGTCTTCAGGTTCAGAGACACCGTGCGAGGTTTCATCAAGGGCGATCCGGGCATGAAGGCGCAGGGGCACTTGGGGATGTTTGGGATTTAGGGTTTCGGTTTAGGGTTTAGGGGTGTTTGTTTAGGGTTTAGGGATTAGGGTTTCGGGTTTAGGGGGTATGGGTTTAGGGGTTAGGGTCCAGGGTTTCGGGTTTTGGGCTTAAAGGTTAAAAATGTTAAATCTAGGGGTTTGGGTTGAGGGGGTGTAGGGGGGTTTCGGGGGATGAGTGTTCAGGGTTCAGGGCTTCTACAAGGCACGGGGTTCGGCGATATTTTCGGGGGGCTTTGAGGCACTCTTCTTTAGCACTCCGTTCGTGCTGAAAGCTTCCAAGGGCTGCAAACACCCCGAAGGTGTATGGGTTTAGGGTTTAGGGTTTAGGGTTTAGGGTTTAGGGTTTAGGTTTTGGCCTCTAGGGCCCCGGAAAGGACCTAAACCCAAGCCAAGCAGTCACCCATCAAAGCCCTTGAAGACCGGCATCTTCTCGGGACGCGAGAATAAAGTTAGTTGGGGTTTAGGGTTGAGGGTTGAGGGTTGAGGGTTGAGGGTTTAGGGTGCTTGTTGGGACATTGTGTACTTTCGCTTCTGGGGCTTAAGAGCACCATACTTAGGAAGATCTTTCAGAGGGCTTTAAGGGCCATCCCAGGCCCTAGGAGAATAAAGTTAAGGTCGGGTCCCAGGATCGGGAACAAAACCCTACGGCCTCAAAAGCCAAAAGCCCTGCGTGGCCCACGCAAGTTGCCCTTGTGAGGAGACTGTTGGATTCTTCCAGCTTGCCAGTTATCCATAAAATGTGGTGACCCCGAATTCTGAACTCGAAGCCCCGACAGTTTCCTAAGTTCCGACAGCGTTCGCTGAGTTGTTGATTAAGTGCCCTAAGTTCTAGAAGCCCTAACCCCTAAACCCTATGTTCCCGAAGTTTCCTCAATACCCTAGGTTCCTAAGTTGCTTAAGCTCCTAGGGTTGCTTGAGTTCGCTAGTTTTCCTAAGTTCCTGAAGTTTCCTACGTTCCGTTTTCTGAGTTTAATTCGAGATCCCCAAGTTCAATGAGCTCCTTCCCCTAACTCCGCTAATATGGGTGGGCTTCCGAAAACAAGGGACGCCCAAAACAGACCCCCAATTCGTAGGACCTCCTTATAATAAGGTACCCTTAACCGTAACCCTAAACCCTAAATCCTAAACCCTAAACCCTAAACCCGTATAACAAGGGTCTCAATAAGGTACCCTTAATTTCGGAACCCCCATGAAAGGGCCAATTCGCCACTCGAGTCTGTGGCAGCCCCGATCTGTACGAGGAGAATGGACGAGGCCGGTTGTTGCTGCGGGGGCTGTAGGGTTTGTAGAATATATAGGGTTTATATAGGGTTTATGGGTTTATATAGGGTTTATGTAGGGTTGATATCGGGTTTATGGGTTTGTATAGGGTGTATGGTGGGTTTATAGGGTTTATAGGAGGTGCATGGCTTATGCAAGGCTTATTTCGGCAGGGTTTTGTGTCGGGCTACTATAGGGTTTAGGTTCTGAGCAGCTTACGGCTTGGGGTTTCGTGCTTTGCGCCAATTTGAGGCGCACAGGGGTAACTCCCCAAGAGTTGAAGCAAGGTTTGTTTCTTTTCATTGAAGGGTTCTGCAGCGTACTGATTTGCTAGAGTTCCGATGTCCTAGAGGTACTAGGTTTGGTAAAATTGGACTTCGGTGGCTTCGCTGTGGTTTGTTTTCGTGCTTCAGTAAAAGCCCTTGGCTCATGTATTGTATAGAGCTTCGGTTTTACGCTAAGTCGAAGAATGTACCCCAAGGTTCCCTAATACTCCCCACGACTCCGCGGGGAGCTGCCCAGATTCCCCAGGTACCTACCCCCCATGAACCCCCCCGCTCCCTAAACCCTAAACCCTAAACCCGAAACCCTAAACCCTAAACCCTCAACTCTCTTAACCCTCTTCTGGCTCTCTTAACGGGGACCTTATTCAGAGGGTCTATATCCTATCCCCTATTGTGAGGGGTTCTTTAGGGTCTTAGGCGTTTAGGGCTTTCTTTGGGGGCTTTTGGGGTTTCTTAGGGTCTTAAGGGTCTTTCAGGGCTTTGAAGGATTTTTAGGGTTTTTAGGGTCTTAGGGTTTTTGCGGTTAGGGTTTTTAGGGTTTTTAGGTGCTTTAAGGGCTTTCATGGTTTCAAGGGTTTTTAGGGGTGTCAGGGCAGCTCCAACTCGGTGGTCTGCTACAGGTCCCTGCCACTCCATTAACTTCATCACGGCGCACGATGGCTTCACTCTCCGCCGCCTGGGCTGGGAAGTTTAGGGTTTAGGGTTTAGGGTTTGGGGTTTAGGGTTTAGGGTTCAGGGTTCAGGGTTTAGGGTTTAGGGTTCGCTGTAATAGAGCGTAGATGCTGTGAAGGTTAGGATGTAGCAGAGGTTAGAAAGCCTCGTCTCCCTTGAGCACCCTGAAAGCCTCCCCCAAAATAGCGTTTTAACAAAAACCCTAAACCCTAAACCCTAAACCCTAAACCCTAAACCCTAAACCCTAAACCCTAAACCCTAAACCCTAAACCCTAAACCCTAAACCCCAAACCCTAACCCTAAACCCTAAACCCTAAACCCTACAGAATCTATCACATCATGGTCTAGACCCCGATCTAGAATGCATTAAGCCCTCAGGGGGGTTTCCGATAGGGGTTTTCTTCAGGGTCTTAGGGTTTAAGGTTTTCTTCCTGAGGTCCTGATCACAAGGGGATCCCATTATTTTGGGGGGTCTATACCAGGGGCCCCCCGATTTTCGTAAAACCCCCCCTATGAATTCATGCCGATTCCTTATAGCTTGGGCTCCATGCGCAAGTTCTTGCACAAAGCCACACGAAACCCTGAACCCTGAACCCTGAACCTGGTTTAGGGTTTAGGGTTTAGGGTTTAGGGTTTAGGGTAAGCCCGAAGCGCAGTGACGGAGCAGGTCAGAACCCTTCGTTCCCTTGCAGCTAGTGTGGCGGAGCAGAAGCATGTTGCCTCTCCCCTAAACCCTAAACCCTAAACCCTAAACCATAAACCCTAAACCCTAAACCCCTTGGGCGACAGGCAGTGCAAAAGACGTGTTTTTCAGCGGGTCATGCCAGAGTATCTCGTGTCCTGAGCTGGTTCCACATGATGCCACACAATGGTGCGACTTGCTAAGGTGACCTTGTGTCTTACAACAAGAAGAACAACCATCTGAACAACGAGGAGAGCACCGGGGAGGGGGAGGAACCGAATGATATTCAGGTCCGCTTTTCGATGATCCATCATCTGGAACACCCTACATTTCTTATCAGACTTGGTCTTTTGGGTCCCTCGACACTAAACCCTAAACCCTAAACCTTAAACCCTACACCCTAAACTCTGCGGCTTTCTGGCCGGTTCAAAGTTATTTTCCTCATCTGGTGTTCAACAAAATTCCTGGGGCATTGCCCCTACAGCTCGGCTTATACAGGGTTTAGCGTTTGGGGTCTAGGGTCTAGGGTCTAGGGTCTATATAGGTTTTAGGGTTTAGGGTGAAAGGGGGGATGAGAGGGGAGGACTTGAAACCTAATTTTGGGGTCTTAGGATTTGAGCATTCTGGGCTGAGCGGTTGCAAGAGCTTAGGGTAACTTTGCGCCCTAAACCCTATGAACCCTACACGGGCTGCTCCACTCGCGAGGGTTTCGGGCGGCAATTCCCCGTGTAACAAGCCCCTACTCGTAATATTGTTGAAAGAATTCTGAGGGGTGGGTGGGTATGTATATGAGGGGAAAGCCGGTATACGGCTTCTAAGCAGGAGAGCGGCGACGATCAGAACCTGTCTTGGAATTGCGGCGAGCCCCACGAGGAAGGCGGGCGAACGACGATTTCTGCAGGGTTTGATGGGTATGGGGTTTACGTGGATGTTTAGCAACCCGTAACCCCTCAACCCCGAAACCCTGCCGGAACTTCCGGGCAATGACCCTCCGAACCCTGGCACGGCACCTGAATTCTAAACCCTAGAAACCCAAAAGGACACCGAACCCTAAAAACCCTAAACCCCTAAAAACCACAAATCCCAACCCCCCCCCCCCCCCCCACCCCTCCAAAACAAAACAAAACAAAGAATAAGCCCAAGAAAAACCTAAGCCCTATCACCCGCCACCGCCGCTTGTGAAGGTGATTGCAAGAACGTGAAGGTGCTGAAGCTCAGAGATCAGCAGTTGCTCAGCGGCATTGGGGTTTAGGGTTTATGGCGCTACCCTAATAGGGGCTACAATTGGGTTCGAAGTACAGTTACAATTGGGTTTAGGGTTTGGTTTAGGGTTTAGGGTTTAGGGTTTAGGGTAATTGGGTTACTAAGTGCCATGAACCTCCAAGCAGCCATCTATGGAGCAAGGTCCCTGCAGCAAAAGCAGACCCTCGACCCCCACATGCACCCCCAACCTAAACCCTAAACCCTAAACCCGAAACCCTAAACCCTAAACCCTAAACCCTAAACCCTAGACCCTAAACCCTAAACCCTAAACCCTAAACCCTAAACCCTGAACCCTGAACCCTGAACCCTAAACCCTAAAACCTAAACCCTAAACCCTAAACTAAACCCTACACCCAACCTTTGGAGGATGCGCAACATGCTCTTGGCCCTCCTCCTCTCGGCGGGCACGCCCATGATCACCTCTGGGGACGAGCTCCACGGCTGTGGGTTTCGGGTTTCGGGTTTAGGGTTTAGGGTTTGGGTTGAGGGGCTTGAATAGGGTTTAGAGTTTAGGGTTCAGGGTTTAGAGTTTAGGGTCTTGGGTGTCTGTACATGGTAGTTATACTGTGAGGTCTATCGGTATGTCATGTTGTTCAAGGCTTACAAGGTCTACAAGTTTGTTTTATGTTCATGAGGCGTACAAGGTATATAAGGTCCATAAGGCTTACAAGGTGTGGGTGAAGGCTTTTAAGGTTTATAAGGTTTGGGGTGTTGCATTTAGGGCTGAGGTGCATAAGGTCTGTAAAGGGTTTAGGGTTTAGGGCTGGGCTTAAGGTTTAGGGTTTCGGGTTTAGGGTTTAGGGTTTCAGGGTTTCAGGGTTTCAGGGTTCAGGGTTCAGGGTTCAGGGTTCAGGGTTTAGGGTTTAGGGTTTAGGGTTTAGGGTTTAGGGTTTAGGGCAGCAGACCCGCACTGGGACCGCTGAGGTACGGACGGAGCCAAGGACTGGCCACAGTTGTGGCTTAGGGTTTAGGGTTCAGGGGTTAGGGTTTCAGGCTTAGGGGGTTTAGGGTTTAGGGTTCAGGGTTTAGGGTTTTGGGCTTAGGGTTTGGGGTTTGGGATCTGAGGTTCAGGGGGCTGCAATGGCTTGAAGGTTCCAGTCTTGCTGGACACCTGTGATGTTTGGTCTTGTGCTGCATTTAGGGCTGGGCGTTTAGGGCCTACTGAGTCCCAGACAGTTTGAAGGTGCATTTGGAGTGATCACTGAGATTATGGGTTGGGAAGCCTTAGTGCGCCTCTACGCCTTGTAAGAACCCCAAACAAGACGTCCTCACCACCCAAGTAGGCGTGGAGCTTAACCCAACACCCCAAAACCTAGACCTGAAATCCTAAGCCCTACATCCTTCAACGCCCCTTAGTTTACAAGATCGCTGGCCCAACCACTCCGGCCCCCGCCTCAGGAGGCAACAACAACACGTGGTGTCAGGATGAGTTGAACTGGTTCTCCTGGGAGAACTGTGCCAAGGAGCCGGCCGGTAGGTGGAGGTTGGGTGTTGGGTTGCCTGTGCCGCTGTTACGGTTAAGGGGTTTATAGTGTTTGTAGGGTTTATAGGGTGTATAGTGTTTGTAGGGTTTATAGGGTTTGTAGGGTTTGTAGGGTTTAAAGGGTTTATAGGGTTTCTAGGGTTTCTAGGGTTTAGGGCACTGTAAGATTCCATGGTGCAGGTTCTTAGCTTGTGAGCCTCTAGCAGGGAAAATTTCACGAAAGGGACCATGCTGTGTTTCTGGCTCCTTGCGACACCGAAGCGTTTGCACCTCCGAACAGGTAGTCACCAGGTAGTCCCCTGATCCTTGATCCCTGGTTGCATAAACCCCATAAACCCTATGTAACCCTATAAGCCCTACAGACCCTACAAACCCTCTAAGCCCCATAAACCCTAAAAGCCATATGAACCCCATATGATCTCTATAAATTAAGGCCTATAAAGCTTGAACCCGAAGGAGGAGGAATCGCTTCTCCGCTTCTTCCGTCGGGCCATCTGCCTTCGGAGGCAGCACGGAGAGCCTCGGCAGACCTGCCTTCAACCCTAAACCCTACACCCTAAACCCTAAACCCTACACCCTAAACCTCAAGCCGCCAAAAAACCTGAACCCTGATTCCTATACCCTAAAACCCTATATACCTTAACCCCGAGCCTGTATCCCTGAATCTATAAACCTAGAAACACCTTTTATGCGGTATTTGACGGCTGCTTGCGGCTATCTGTTTCTTCAACATCTTCAATGTTCTCAATCATTTTTTCAAAGGCGGTCTTAACAAAACAAGAAATGCATTGTTCTAGGTTTCAAGAGTTTCAAAACACTCGCCCTTAAGACTTTAGATTTTATACAAAACCAAAAGCTAAATCGGGACGGCTCCGGCTCTCGGAACTTTCCCGGACGATTCACATTTTGAAATAATTTTCAACATTTTCTAAGTTTTCGCCTTGAGGAGTATTTCGAATTTAAAGACAATTGAAAAAGCAGTTTCAATTTTTCAGTATTTTCGGCGTTTGAAAATTTCAATAAATTGAAACTTTTCAATATTTTTTAAAAATCAGCTTATTTTGAATGGTAAATCGTTCGGGAAAGTTCTCGGAGCCCTGAGCCGTCCAGGCCGATTTAGTTTTTCGATTTTTCTAAATCTTAAATAATCTTAAGGTTAAGAAATTTTTGAAAATTTGAAACAATGACTTTTGACATTTTCATTGTTTTCAAAACGTTTTAAGTTGAATGTTTTACAAATGTGAGAAATTAGGCTTTTCAATTTGTCATTTCTTTTTTCAGTATTTCGATGTTTTTCAGGAGGTTGAATCGTCCGGGAGCCTGAGCCGTCCAGGCCGATTTAGTTTTTCAATTTTTGAAGGCTTTCAAGAAATTCTTACTGTAAGGGCGAAGATTTTGATAATTTTGAGACATTTTTTCAGTTGTTTCAGAACTTTCAACATTTGGTGTTTCAATCCTTTCGTTTTTATCGTCTTTAAAACAACTTTGAAAAAAGTTTGCAACTTTTAGAAAAACTTTTGAGGTTAGTCCCTTGACTGCCCCATACTTAGTGGCCCTTTTTGACTTAGTAAAGCAGGGTTAGTAAGGTGGGTCATGGGGATTCTGAACGGGATTTTAGGGCCCATGAAACTACCCCTAGAGCTGAGCAAAAGCCCGAACCCCCTGAACAAGCCTTAACCCTACATCCTAAACCCTAAACCCTAAACCCTAAATCCTAAACCCTAAACCCTAAACCCTAAACCCTAAACCCCAAACCCCAAACCCTGAACCCTCGACAAGGACCTTCTGGCCCGTACCGATTTCATGACGCTGCTCGGCTTCCGCGGCCAAGACGAGAGCCCAGCAATTGTTTCAGGGGTTTGAGGTTTGGGGTGTTTAGGGTTTAGGGTTTAGGGTTTAGGGTTTAGGGTTTAGGGTTTAGGGTTTAGGGTTTAGGGTGAGAACCCAACTCCCCCTAAATTCGGGAGTATTCCTGATTCACAACAGGAGGCCTGTACTCATGTCCCTCGACTTTGGTTCGAGATGCAGGGCTCGGGAGTTTAGGTTTGGGTGTAGGTTTGGGCTTAGGGGTTAGGATTCAAGGTTCAGGCTTAGGGTTTAGGATTTAGTGTTTAGGATTAGGGTTTAGGGTTTAAGGTCTAGGCTTTTGGGGCTTTTCAGGTGTCTGTTTAAGGGCATGAGGGCACGAGGGCTGCGTGGGTTACGCTTAGACCTTGAACGCCAAACCCTAAACCCCAAACCCTAACTACCCTAAAACAAACCTAAACCCTAAAGGGTTTGGGGTTCAGGCGCCCAGCTTCCAGTTTCCAATGCCAAACAACGAAGCCGCGGCGCTCAGGCACGAGACGATCCAGTGGAATCACTTGCAGCTTGGACCACCTTGTAGTCTTCGGGCATACGGTATTGAGGGTTTAGGGTTTAGGGTCTAGGGTTTAGGGTTTAGGGTTTAGGGTAGCAGATGGATGGAGGCGGTAGGTTGACGGCAGCCATTGATTTTGTCAAGGCAGAGTGAGTTGAGGATAGTGGCGCGCAGGCCAACCTCAAACCCTAAATCCTGAACCCTCGACGTATTTATCAACCCTGAACCCGTGGTGCTCTTAGGACTCTGCCCCGGAAGTCGGGTTTAGGGCCTAGGGTTTGGGGCCTCGGGCTTAGGGTTTAGGGACTGAGGAACTGGGATGACGAGTACAACTTCCTGAGTTTTATCCTTCACCGACCAGGCCAGTGGCAAGGTTCAGCAGCAGTGCGCATACAAACGTACTCGTTTTCGAGCGGCTGCAGCCCTGTAATGGGCGGTGATGGGGATCGGGTGCGTTAAACCCTAAACCCTAAACCCTGAACCCCGAACCCTAAACCCTAAACCCTAAACCCTAAACCCTAAATCCTAAACCCTGAACCCTGAACCCTGACCCCTGACCCCTAACCCCTAACCCCTAAACCTATCCTACAAGTCCAAAGGGTTTGGCACGTTACAGATTGCTGACGTGCTGCAGGACCCACATGGCCGTTGGCGACCCTGATAAAAGCTACTGGCTCTTACTGGGGAATGAGGGAATTGGGTACCACATGCAATCCCTCAAAGGGCGCACACATATGTGTATCCACATTTATGTATATGTACGTAAGTGTATGTGTGTATATATATATATATAGGGGGAATATACGGTTCAGACGATGTGTCGCCTCGTATGCATTTCCTCCTGAGCAGAGAGAGATGCTTCGGCACTCTAAACCCCCAAAAACCCGAAGCCCAAAGCCCCTAAACCTTAAACCCTAACCCTAAACCCGAAACCCTAAACCCTAAACCCTAAACCCTAAACCCTAAACCCTAAACCCTGAAAGATTAGTTGAAGCACTGGGCAGGTGAGGAGGTGGAGGGCGCAGACCAGCCTGAAGAGGTCCGCCATGTGTTTTGAGGACTAGGGCTGTTCGGGTTTAGGGTTGGGGGTTTAGGGGTTTAGGGGTTTAGGGGTTTAGGGCTTTAGGGGTTTAGGGGTTTAGGGGTTTCGGGGTTTCGGGGTTTGGGGGTTTAGGGGTTTAGGGGTTTGGGGGTTTAGGGCAAGTTTAGGGGTTTGGGGGTTTAGGGGTTTAGGGGTTTCGGGGTTTAGCGGTTTAGGGGTTTGGGGTTTAGGGGGTTTAGGGGTTTGGGGTTTTAGCGGTTTAGGGGTTTTTAGGGTTTGGGGGTTTAGGTTTAGGGGGGTTTGGGAGTTTAGGGTTTTAGGGGTTTTAGGGGGCTTAGGGGCTTAGGGGTTTAGGGGTTTAGGGGTTTAGGGGTTGGGGGTTTAGGGGTTTAGGGGGTAGGGGTTTAGCGGTTTAGGGGTTTAGGGGTTTGGGGGTTTGGGGGTTTCGGGTGTAGCGGTTTAGGGGTTTAGGGGTTTAGGGGTTTGGGGGTTTAGGGGTTTAGGGGGTTTAGGGGTTTAGGGGGTTTAGGGGTTTAGGGGTTTAGCGGTTTAGGGGTTTAGGGGTTTGGGGGTTTCGGGGTTTAGGGGTTTAGGGGTTTAGGGGTGTGGGGGTTTCGGGGTTTAGGGGTTTAGGGGTTTGGGGGTTTCGGGGTTTAGGGGTTTAGGGTCTAGGGGTGTAGGGGTTTAGGGGTTTACGGGTCTAGGGGTTTAGGGGTTTAGGCTTTAGCCTTGTGGGTTTGGGGTTGAGGGTTTCCCGAATGCCTCGGCTACTGGGGGGATTGGAGCCCAAACCCCAAACCCCAAACTCCACACCCTAAACCCTAAGACCACCAGCCGGCAGTCGGAAGAGCTCAGGGATCAGTTTGCTGTATATGCTTTACATGCCGGCCTCCGTGCCAGGCCTCTGTCGTCAGCGCCGTGGCATCAAAGGCCCTTGCCAGGTACTTGAAGGTTCGAGCGGGTTCAGGTGAGGTTTGGGGTCTAGGGCCAAGTTTAGATTGGTTACAGGTGTGAGGTTTAGGGTCGAGGGGCTGAAGGTTTGGGGAGAACACCGACGTACGCCAGCCCCTGTGAAACCTGGTTCAGGAGTAGTTGCTTCTGAAGACTACGGCACCTCAAGGCAGAAAGCAGCCCTCCACTTGGGTTTCGGGGGCTTTCAGCCCCCTCTTTGGCATCCCAAGCACCGCCCTGCAACCTCCAATCCCTACAAGCATCGTTTTGGTGCTTTACTGTAACTTTAGATCTTTAGCTTTTTTGGGGTTAACTGGGTTTCTTAAGAAGGCAGCTAAAAGCTTAGTTTTTTTTACTACCCTCCTAAGTGCAGCCAAGGCATGATTGTCTCTTCTTTGTAACCTCATGCCTTACACCGGCAGGATTTAGGGTTTTGGGGGTTTGGGGTTTAGGGTTTAGGGCTTCCCCCCAACCTCGAAACCCTAGGCCCTGAACCCCAGATACCCCAAACCCCGTAAGCCCCGAATGTTGCAGGCAGGCAGCAGCCACGTCAGCACCCGCGACAGTGAACGCCGCCAGTGCACTGCACTGCTCGTGGCACACTGGCGGCAACTGCGGGGCAGGGCTTCGGGAGTTGGGTTTTGGGGTTTGAGGGTTTAGGGGCTCGTGGGGTTTGAGGTTGTAGAGTCGTAGGTTTTTGCATTTTAGGGTTGAGGGTTCAGGGCTTAGGGAGAAAGACTCTCACGTTAGGGTTTTTGCAGTAAGTCTTCATTTGTGTGTGTTCTTTGGTTCGATTGAAGGCTTTCTAAGCCCTAAACTGCTAAACTCCCCCAAACCCTAAACTTCACACTCACCCCAAACCCTGAACCCTGAACCCTGAACCCCGAACCCTAAACCCTAAACCCTAAACCCTAAACCCTAAACCCTAAACCCTAAACCCTAAACCCTAAACCCTGCCCCCCCCCCCCCCCTACTCTCGAAACAAACCCCCCCACTCCTCTTTTGATGCCCAGGCGTTCAACGCTGGGCACCTCGCACCGGGGCCCTGATTCTGAATTCTAACATGGTCTCGCAGACGCGCGAGTCTGATCGAGAGAATAAGAGAGAGAGATAGAGAGAGATAGAGAGAGAGAGGGAGGGAGGTGGCTTGGTATTTGGGGAGGCCCCAGGTCCTTCAGAGCAGGTGCAAGCTTGTTTACGGGCGTGTCATTCTGCTGAGCGTCCTTTGCATAGCCTTATTGCCTGACAGTTTGTGTCTGTGAGCTCCACCCAAACCCCAAGCCCCAAGCTCCTAAACCTCTCAACTCCTAAACCCTGAGCCTCTAAGCCCCTAAACCCTAAACTCTAAACCCATGAACGGTCTAAACTCTGAACCGCTACACCCCTAAACCCTAAACCCTAAACCCTAAACCCTAAACCCTAAACCCTAAACCCTAAACCCTAAACCCTAAACCCTAAACCCAGTGATGTCGCAACAAGGCGCACGAATGCCACCTTCCCCCTGGACGGGACTGGTTCCGATTAGTGGATACCAGCCTGCCGGCACCGGAGGCTTGGGGTTGGGGGTTTAGGGTTTCGGGTTTAGGGTTTAGGGTTTCGGGTTTAGGGTTTGGGGTTTAGGGTTTAGGGTTTCGGGTTTCGGGTTTAGGGTTTGGGGGTTTGGGGTTTAGGGTTTAGGGTTTCGGGTTTAGGGTTTAGGGTTTAGGGTTTAGGGTTTAGGGCGAAAATCACCTCCAGGCTTCCCCCTTTTGAATCCCTAATCTACTACGGCCCCTTGTATTTAAAACCCTAAGCCCTACACACCCTAAACCCGAAACCCTAAACCCTAGAAAAGGGACCCTAATTTTGAGAACTGACCTCATGTGACATCCATGCGTGGTTCGCTCCCTCTGCGCTTGTGAGGCTGTCGAAATGCACCTAAATCCCTACAAATCCTTCACCCTGAAGCTCTGGAAGCCGATTTAGGGTTTAGGGTGTAGGGTTTAAGGCTTAGGGTTTGGGGTTTAGGGTTTAGGGCTTAGGGTTTAGGGATTGCGGGTTCCTTCGCATTGGTGTGACTGTTTCGGGAGAGCACGGACGCTTCAGCACGTAGGCTGAGGCTTGGACTTCTAGGTTTGCGTAGGCAGCGTCTGGTTTCGGTAAATGTTCACACAAGAAATGAGCAACCCACCATGCACCGCAGGGTTTGAGACATATAGGGCTTAGGGTTTAGGGTTTAGGGTTTAGGGTTTAGGGTTTAGGGTTTAGGGTTTAGGGGCGTTTGGGGGTTCAAGGGTTGAGAGATGTTCAGAGTCGAGTTTGAACCTTAGCCTTTCGGCCCAAGCCCGCACCCAAACACTGGGGAACAGGACATTGTCGACTGCGACGAGGATGCCCAGCTCATCTCTGGCGAGTCCTACGTGGACGCCTCAGCTTCGTCGGAAAGTTGTGCGAAGTCTTCGTATGTTTGGGGTAATGGTGGGGCTGTGGCATTCGTCTGACGGGTAGAGAGACCATCATGTTGTTTTGAACTGTTGTGTGTCTGCCATTTCACAAGTTGACTCCAAAGCTTCCCGAAAAAATTGGAGAGGGTCGCCCATCCGAATCGGTCAAACAGGTACCCCCCCCCCCCCACCCCAAAGCTAAACCCTAAACCCCAAGCCCTTAACCCTAAGGGCTAAACTAATTACCGGAATTAGGGTTTAGGGTTTTAAGGTTTTAGGGTTTTAGGGTTTTAGGGTTTTAGGGTTTTTGGGTTTCAGGGTTTTAGGGTTTTAGGGGTTTAGGGTTGAGGGTTGAGGGTTTAGGGTTTAGGAATCTGGGTTCCTCTGCTTGCGTTTAGATTCCTCACCATGTCTCCAACACCGGAAGCTTCCGGAGAGCTGTCTTCAGCATGTCCTACCCTGCACCCGAACAGTGTTTAGGGTTTAGGGTTTAGGGTTAGGGTTTAGTACAAACTAATAAGGGCAGTTCTCTAAAAGCAGGGTCCCGTCTTTTCGGGGGCCCTGTATAAGACCAGAGAGGAGACCCAAAAAGGGACCCTAACGTGCTTCCCGGACGTCCTGAGGTCCCTAAACCCTAAACCCTAAACCCTAAACCCTAAACCCTACACCCTAATATAAATATAAATATAGGAGACCCATGAAAAAGAAAGGGACCTGCAGCCTAAGTGGGCTTTCGGGAAGTTCCCCTAAACCCCAAAACCCTAAACCCTAAACCCTGAACCCTGAACCCTAAACCCTAAACCCTAAACCCTAAACCCCAAACCCTAAACCCTAAACCCTAAACCCTAGACCCTAACCCTAGACCCTAAACCCTAAAACCCATCCCTCCTGGAGGTCATGACCCCCTACAGCTGCATCATCCTACGCAGCTTCGCTGACCTCGCGGACGCCCAGCGCTACGACACCAGTGAGATGGAACCGAGCCTGGCACCCAAGTGTGTGGGCCCTTAGTTCCCCAAGTCGTCTTAGGCAAGATTATGCAGGTTCCCTTATGTAAGCCCATGTTCCCAGGTAGCCCTAAACCCTAAACCCTAAACCCTAAACCCCAAACCCCAAACCCCAAACCCCAAACCCCAAATCCCAAATCCCAAACCCAATCTATTCCTGGGATCTCGCAGCACGCGGCTAAGGACATCGGCTTGCGAGGCGCTCTTTGAGTTTTTTGGGACCCCTAAGCCGACACACGCCTGCTATGTAGGGTTTAGGGTTTAGGGTTCAGGGTTTAGGGTTTAGGGCTTAGGTTTAAGCGTTTTGGGTTCTCAGCTGAGGGTTTTAAGGTCTACGGTTTAAAGTGTTGAGGATACAGGGTGCAGGGTTTTTGCCCGTCTTGAAGTTCAGTGGAAGTTCAGGGGTCAGAGTGTAAAGTGTTTAGGGTCTAGGGTGCCGGTTTTTTCACGCTTGGGTTTCAGGGCTTAGGGCTTATCAATGCTAAACATCCCAAACCCTAAACTTAAACTGAATCCTACCTGAAGTACCCTCTGAAGAAGGCCTAGCAAAGTCTTTAGCACCATGACCCCCCTGTGTTTAGGTTTCAGGGTTTAGGTGGCAAGCAGCATTCAGCTGGTGCAATCGGACGAGGTATTACAAGCCCCTAGACGCAGTGTGCCTGCCCTAAACCCCCTAAACCCCTAAATCCTAAACCCCAAACAACCCTGTGAAGCCCTAAACCTCTAAACCCTCAACCCCGAACACCCTAAAAACCCCCCTAAACCCCTAAACCCCGAAACCCTAAAACCACCTAAGCCCCGAAATCATAAACCCTACACCCTACACCCTACACCCTACACCCTACACCCTACACCCTACACCCTAAACCCTAAACCCTAAACCCTAAACCCTAAACCCTAAACCCTAAACCCTAAACCCTAAACCCTAAACCCCGTAGAGTCTTAAGCCAAGCAAGGTCATGCCAAGCAGCTCGAAGCGGAGCTGCGCCAGGCTGATTTAGGGTTTTAGGGTTTAGGGTTTAGGGTTTTAGGGTGTAGGGTTTAGGGTTTAGGGTCTAGGGTTCAGGTGTAGTGTTTAGGGCAGCGTAGAGGGTGGGGGTGAGGGGACGTGCGTCAGGTGACTGAATGCCCCCCCCCCCCCCCCCCCCTCAAAAAAGCAACCCTTAAACCCAGGAAAAACTCTGAAAGGCCCTGAGCTTCTAAACCCCAAACCCTAAACCCTAAACCCTAAACCCTAAACCCTAAACCCTAAACCCTAAACCCTAAACCCTAAAGGCATGAGACCCGAGGTCCCCTGAGACCCCAGACCCTCAAAGCCCCAAAACGCTCGAAAACCCTGAAGCAATTAAACCCTAAAACCCTAAAACCCCAAAACCCTAAAACCCTAAAACCCTGTAAAACACGCTCAAACCCCTTAAGCCCTCTACAAAAGCCCCTTCAGAACCACTTCAACACCCCTTCAAGCTCCCTTCAAGAACCCCCTCAACACCTTCAGAACCTTAAACAACCCCTAAACCCTAGCCCTAAACCCTCAACCCTAAACCCTAAACCCTAAACACACCCGGAGGTGGCCCAGCAGCCTCTGCAGGCACAGCTTCTGGAGGCGCCACCTTCTTAGGGATTTAGCGTTTGGGGTTTAGGGTTTGGGGTTTAGGGTTTAGGGTTTGGGGTTTGGGGTTTGGGGTTTAGGGTTTAGGGTTTGGGGTTTAGGGTTTGGGGTTTGGGGTTTAGGGTTTAGGGTTTGGGGTTTAGGGTTTAGGGCTTCAGGGTTTAGAGTTTAGGGTTTTATGGCTTTAGGGTTTTAGGGTTTAAGGTTTAGGGTTTGGGGTTTAGGATTTAGGGTTTTGGAGTTTTGGGGTTTTGAGGTTTTGGGGTTTTGGGGTTTTGGGGTTTTGGGGTTTTGGGGTTTTGGGGTTTTGGGGTTTTGGGGTTTTGTGGTTTTTAAGTTTTTAGGGTTTAGGGTTTAGGGTTCAGGGTTTTGGGTTTCAGGGTTTTGGGGTTTTGGGGTTTTGGGGTTTTGGGGTTTTGGAGTTTTGGGGTTTTAGGGTTTTAGGGTTTTAGGGTTTAGGGTTCAGGGTTTTAGGGTTTTAGGGTTTTAGGGTTTTGGGGTTTTGGGGTTTTAAGGTTTTAGGGTTTTAGGGTTTTAGGGTTTCAGGGTTTTAGGGTTTTAGGGTTCGGGTTTAGGGCTTAGGGTTCAGGGTTTAGGGTTTAGGGTTTAGAGTTTCTGGTTAAGGGTTTAGGGTTTAGGGTTTAGGGATTTAGGGTAGAGGGTTTAGAGATTTAGGGCTGTGGGTTTAGGGTTTTTTTGGGTTGAAGGGATGTAGGGTTTAGGGATTTAGGGTTTGGGGCTGAGGTTGGGGTTGAAGGGGTTAAGGATTGAGGGTTCACGGTTTAGGGTTGAAGGGGTTGAAGGGATGTAGAATTTAAGGATTTGGGGTTTAGGGTTTAGGGTTTAGGGATTTAGGGTTTTAGGGCTAAGGGTCTTGTGTTGAAGGTTTTCGAGGTTTAGGGCCAGGGTCCCTAAGCCTTCGGCCCCTCAACACTAGGCCAAACCCTAAACCCTAAACCCTAAACCCTAAACCCTAAACCCTAAACCCTAAACCCTAAACCCTAAACCCTAAACCCTAAACCCTAAACCCTAAACCCTAAACCCTAAACCCTAAACCCTAAACCCTAAACCCTAAACAGACACCCTTGAAGACCCTCATCACCTTCTCACAATTCATCCTGCCGAGGACGGCTTCGAGGAAGTTGGCCCTGTCCCCCTGGCAGGTGCAGAGGGACCTGGGGTTTCAGGGCGTTGAGGGGCTTCGGGGGTTTAGGGTTTAGGGTTTAGGGTTTAGGGTTTAGGGTTTAGGGTTTAGGGTTTAGGGTTTAGGGTTTAGGGGCTTATGGGGTGTTTTGGGCTTAGGGTTCAGGGGGTTTTGTGTTTGAGGTTTCAGGGTTTTAGGGCTTCTGGGGTTTAGGGTTTACGGTTTTTTGGTTTTGTGTTTCAGGCTTTAGGGTCTTGTGTTCAGAGTCTTGGGAGTATGGTTTCAGATTTTTTAAGTTTCAGGTTTTTTGGGTTTTGGGGTTCAGGGTTTTGGGGTTCTGGTCTTCGCTCCAATCAACCCAAGAAAAGCGAAGCGTCACACGTGGGGACAGAGGGCCTGGGTGGGTGTTCAAAGCTAGAGCAAGCTAGGCCCATAAACTCTTAAACTCTTTGCCCTTACTCCCTGAAGCCCTAGAACCCTATAAGCCCTCCAGCCTTAAACCCCTAAGCCTTGAAGCCCCAATCCCTAAACCATCTTGTTCAGGGGTTCGGCAGGTACGGTTCTAAGTCTTGAAGAGCCGCTCGGCTTTTCCCCATCCCCCCTTCATGCCTCAACCCCTGAACATCTTTGAAATCCGAGAGGCCCTAAGCCCCTGAGCCCTGGCCCTAAACCACTAAGCCTTCAACCCCAAATAGCACCCGTGCATCCTAAACCTTAGACCACGAAAACCACTAAGCCACTAAACGCACTACGCCACCATACCACTAAACCACTACGCCCTCACACCTAAACCCTAAACCCAGAAACCCTGAACCTTCAACCCTAAACCCTTAGCCCTAAACCCTAAACCCGGAACCCTGAACCCTGAACCCTAAACCCTAAACCCCAGCCAAACCAGGTGCATCAGACCTGGTTGGGAGGCTTCCCTCGGCCAAGGCATAGCTGAGCCCAACAGAAGAACCGCCGGGAGATTCATGCCCCTCCAGGGTTTAGGGTTTAGGGTTTAGGGTGTAGGGTGTTAGGGTTTTGGGGTTTGTAGGGTTTTAGGGTTTCAGGATGCTAGGGATCAATAGGGTTTTGAGGGTTAGGGTTGAGGGCTTAGGGTTTAGGGTTTTGAGGGTTGTTGAGGGTTGAGGGTCCCAAAGGGGGAGCAGGGAACTTAGCAAGTGGGTTCTGGTTCAGGTGCTAGACGTCCAAACGGGGGGTGCTGACAAGGGTACTCGTAACCTACTGGCAAAAGTTTTTCTCGGAGCAGGGGCCTATGTCACTAGAATGTGTTTTTTGGGTAGTTTCGACTACAAGTATATCTATGGATCATGGTGGCTAACGCTGTTTTGAAGCCCTAAACCCTAAACCCTACACCCTAAACCTAAACCCTAAACCTAAGTGTCATATCCACGCAAGTGTCTGTCCACGGAGACCATCCGTACACGCAGGCCACGGAACTGTCCACGGACCCCATTGTCCACGGATGTGTTTTTTTAGGGACCCGAGGGAGGGAGGGAGGAAGCAGTGCGTTTTCGAGGCCTTCCAAAACGCACTTTGCTTGCAACTGGAGCTGCAACTGGAGGGTGGGAGGAAGCAGTGCGTTTTCGAGGCCTTCCAAAACGCACTTTGCTTGCAACTGGACGGAGGTAAGGGAGAAAGGAAGAGGGCGGGACTTCCAAAACGCACTTTGCTTGCGACTGGAGGGAGGGGCGGCTTATGGTCTCGTTTCACAGAATTACATGCTGATAGGGGCTCTGGTGCGTTTAGGGTGGTGGCCAAAACGCACTGAGCTCTTTTTCTCGGCGATTCGCACTGTGCATCCCAGCTGGTCCAGGCCAAGTCCTGGTGGAGTTTCGACATGCTTTACTGGTTGTAAGGCGCTTTCGGAATCAGGGTCTATTTTGGATCTAGGAAACCCTAAACCCTAAACCCTCTAAACCCTAAACCCTAAACCCTAACCCTAAACCCTAAAGCCTCCCGAGTCTAGGGGTTTAGGGGCACGACCCAGGGCCTTCACGGCGTTGAGGGTTTAGGGCAGATGTGGACCTTCAGAGATTGGGGTTTTTGGTTTATGCAAAACGCACTTCCCCCTTCCGCCCCTGCTCTTCCCCTCCCCTCCCCGTGCGTTTTGGGGGGTCTGCAAAACGCACCCCCCCCTTCCCCCTCTTCCCCCCCCCCCGTCCCCCCCCCCCCTCCCCCCCCCATGCGTTTTGGAAGACCTGCAAAACGGCACTCTCCCCCCCCCCCCCCCCCCCCTTCCCTCTTCCCCCTCCCCCCTCCTACTTTTTTGACCTGCAAAACCTTCCCTGCACCCCAAGCAAAGCCCCCCCCCAACCCCCAAAACACATTTTGCTTGGGTGGGGGGGGGAGTCGGTTTTGCAGGCCTTGAGACCAAATAAGTGGGGGGGGCTTTGCTTGGAGGGGTGCAGGGAAGGTTTTGCAGGTCAAAAAATAGGAGGGGGGAGGGGGAAGAGGGAAGGGGGGGGGGAGGCGGGGGTGGGGAGGCAGGTCTTCCAAAACGCACGGGGGGGAGGGGGGGGGGGGAGGGGGGGGGGGGGGGGAAGAGGGGGAAGGGGGGGGGTGCGTTTTGCAGGCCCCCCAAAACGCACGGGGAGGGGAGGGGAAGAGCGGGGGCGGAAGGGGGAAGTGCGTTTTGCATAAACCAAAAACCCCAATCTCTGAAGGTCCACATCTGCCCTAAACCCTCAACTCCGTGAAGGCCCTGGGTCGTGCCCCTAAACCTCTAGACTCGGGAGGCTTTAGGGTTTAGGGTTAGGGTTTAGGGTTTAGGGTTTAGGGTTTAGAGGGTTTAGGGTTTAGGGTTTCCTAGATCCAAAATAGACCGAAAGCAAACTGCGAAAATTGGCCCGAAGGGAGATCCCCATTTCCTAACTCTAAACCCTAAACATGGTTCAGGTTTGAAAGGTGGCAGCTTTCTGGGCCCCCATGGTTTAGGGTTTAGGGTTTCGGGGGTCTGCTTTCATGTTATTCCCCCTGCGTGCTTAAGCTAAACCCTGCTGCACGAGACCTCGGGATATTTCATATGATGCCTTTCAGTTATCTCAACCCTAAACCCGAAGCCCTAAACCCTGAACCCCAAACCCTAGAAACAGGTGCAGAGGGTTTTGAGGTAGCTTCCAGTGACGGACTGAGTTGGGCATGAGTGGTTTAGGCTCAGGGCCCCCCCCCCCAAAAATGTATATACATATATATATATATATATATGTATATATGTATATATATATATGTATATATATGTATATATATATATGTATATATATATGTATATATATATATGTATATATATATACACATATACTTTTTTCATATTTTACTTCGAACATCCCCACCTTAGGGATTTGGATTTGGGTTGGGCACTGCAGCAATCCAGGGAGTCTCTGAGGTTGGGCACTCCAGGGAGTCTCTGGGGTTAGAGTCTCTGGGCTGGGCATTTCAGGGCATTTCAGGGAGTCTCTGAATTGGGCACTCCAGGGAGTGTCTGGGGTTGGGCACTCCGGGGAGTCTCTAGGAGTAGACCGGGGGAGGAGAAGCGTTCCGGGCGAGGAGAAGAGTTGAGTTTAAAATCTAACAAGCCCACACCGAAGGTGGGGAAAAAACAGCAACATCAAATCGACGAAATAAGAAGAAACAAGTTCAGGATGTTCCAAGATACTTGAAATTTCTTGAGGATGGGATGATTGGTTGATGGTTGAGGCTTGAGGGTTAAGGGTTTAGGATTTAAGGTGTAGGGTTGAGGGGTTTAGGGTTTAGGGTTGAGGGTTGAGGGTTGAGGGGGGTCAGGTCCCTCTCTTGTTTGCCTGTTGTCAGGCGATGACCAAGATCATGGGTGCCTGAGAGATGATATCACGCATTGCGCCACTCTACCCTGCTAGTTCTTGATGGGGTTTGGGGTTTGGGTTTAGGGTTAGGGTTTAGGGTTTTGGGAAGAAGCCAGGTGCCTTGCTGCCTCACTCCACATAGCTTCGCAAAGCCCTGCCCCTAAGGGGCCACAACCTGGGCCCCAAAATATGAGGATGGTACGAAGCTCAATGAAGTTAGGGTGTAGGGTTTAGGGTTTAGGGTTTAGGGCTTGGAGACCTGCTGATAGCAATTCGAAGAATAGCCCTTCGGCTGCGCATTCCGGAGCAAGCATGACATCCCAAACCACCTAAACCCTAGACCCTACACCCTAAACCCTCAACCCTAAAACCCCAAGACCCTAAACAGCCTAAACCCCGAGAGTCCTAAACTCTTTACTAGACCCTAAACCCCCAAAACTTGGGATGTTCCCCATAATCTACTAACAGTCCTTAAGAGGGACTACAATAGGGGGTTACTAGAATCCCTTTTTAAGGACTGCTAGTATAAGGGGAAACATCCCAACCTAAAACCCTGGAAACCCTAAACCCCAAAATCTCTACAGGGCCCTAGTAGGAGCTTTCTACATCAGGGATCCCTAAGAAGGCAGAGGCTTTAGGCTGTAGGCTTTGGGCTTTAGGGTTTAGGCTTTCGGCTTTAGGGTTTAGGCTTTAGGCTTTAGGGTTTAGGCTTTAGGCTTTTGGCTTTTAGGCTTTTAGCTTTGGGCTTGAGGCTCGAGGTTTGAGGCTTGAGGCTTTAGGCTTTAGGCTTTAGGGTCTAGGGTCTAGGGTCTAGGGGAGTTCTGGTGGAGTGTTTAGGGTTTATTTAGGGTGCTGCTTGCTCAGTGTCAAGGAGCTTAAGCTAAGTTACCAGAATAAGATAGGGTTACAAGGGCAAGAAGCTTGGGTTAGGGTTATAAGGGCGCGTCTGTCTCAGTCATGTTCCTTCTGGCTGAAAGGTGTAGGAGACTAGGGTTTCGGGTTCTAAGGCTACCGCACGTGCCTATAAACGTGGCTCTGAGCCCTTGGAGGATAGAGTGGCTCGGGATTTTGCCGGCTGAGCTTCACAGAGAGCCGCGAAGCCACACAGCCAAGTAGAGCTTCTCATGTGTGAGCTGGTGCGGCTCCTTAGCCGCCCTTAGCTTTTCGCTGCGCTTGGTTTTTATAGGGTTCTTAAGAAAGGGGGGGTTCAAGGGGGGTAGGTAACCCTAAGGCAACCCTAATACTCCCTAAGGTTCCCTAAGGTTCCCTAAGGTTCCCTAAGGTTCCCTAAGGTTCCCTAAGGTTCCCTAAGGTTCCCTAAGGTTCCCTAAGGTTCCCTAAGGTTCCCTAAGGTTCCCTAAGGTTCCCTAAGGTTCCCTAAGGTTCCCTAAGGTTCCCTAAGGTTCCCTAAGGTTCCCTAGGTACCTACCCCCCATGAACCCCCCTCCGTTAAGAACCTTATAAGTGTTTTTTTCATAGTACCACACGCTGCCGGCTTGCGAAACACACGCTTGCCCGTCGCGGGCAGCTCTTAAAAGCTTGGACAAAGAATCTCCGAGACGGTTGCAACGTGCTCCCTCGCAGATCATGTTGCGAGCACAGTGGGCCGGAATCTGCGGGATGCACCAGTCCTCTTTGACATCATGGGGTTCAGGAACAGAAGGGACCCCCTGATATAGATCCCGAAGATATTCCCTGATAATAAGGAGCCCAATAAGGTACCCCGAACTTCGGAAGCCCGACCACATGTTGCAACACATAAGCCCGAAGCCCTAAACCCGAAACCTGCAGAAGCTTACGCCTCTTTCGTCTGAGGGTAGCTGTTTAGGGTTTAGGGTTTAGGGTTTAGGGTTTAGGGTTTAGGGCTTCATGGGCCGGCTTTATATTAAGGGACCATGAAACTACCCAAAGATTTAGGGTCTTGGGGGTTTTGGGGCGACAGGGTTCTGAAGGTTGGGTTTCAGGGTGGTCGGGGAGATTCAGTAGTTGTTTAGAGGATTTAAACTGAACCCAATGAAAACTTATACAGAATGATGGTGTAGCTTTAGGGCTTTAGTGTTTAACTAAGCTTTTAAGGGCAGCGGTGCGAAACCGCTAAACCCTAAACCCTAAACCCTAAACCCTAAACCCTAAACCCTAAACCCTAAACCCTAAACCCTAAACCCTAAACCCTAAACCCTAAACCCTAAACCCTAAACCCTAAACCCTAAACCCTAAACCCTAAACCCTAAACGCCACGACTCGATGGGCTCCGTCCCAATTCAGGCTACGGCCCGGCTCTGACGTGACACAGACATTCGTGAGGAACAATGTTTTGTCGCAAGATGGCCAGTTCCCAGAAATTATGGTCCCTGAGCTCCAGGGCTCTAGGGTTTAGGGTTTAGGGTTTAGGGTTTAATTCGGGTTTAGAGTTTAGGGTTTAGGGTTACCATAAAGGGGAAGGCATGGTCCTTCTTCCCATCTCACTTAGCCAACAGATCCAGTAGATGAACTATAGCACTTTTGGGCGTCCTTCCTTTGTTTTAAAGCTTGTTCACTCCTGGGTTATTGGAGAATGAAGTCTTGTGCCTCCGTTATCATACGGCCCCCTTCGAAAACTCAGGGTACCCTTAAGGGACCATAGTTTCGTGAGCTGACAAGATTTCACAGGAATGTTTTCCTGACTGGCTGTCGCCAGTAAGCTTGTCCAAATCGTGACCCGCCAGCCCCTTGAATGGTCTTTCCTCGAATGAGAGCCGATCGAATCTCACCCCTTACAATCTTCAGTCCGATCTCATCCCCTACACTCTTCAGTCCTCAAAGGCATTGAGCTTTTTTAGGGTCTTGGGCTTCGGGTTGATAAACCCGAAGGACCCTGTCTAGACAACTTCCAGCGTGGTCAAGACCAAGCTCTGGACGAGTATAGAGTCTATAGGCGCTCTAGGATTTAGGGCTTAGGGTTTCAGGTTTACCTACATTGATTGATTTGTCTTTGGGGGTGTTCTTCAGCAAATAGTAGTTTAGGGTTTGGGGTCCCTGGCAACTCCCTAACCTAAACCCTAAACCCTAAACCCTAAACTTTAAACCCTGGCCTAAACCTTAAACCCTCAGCCCTAAACCCTGTGAGGTTGTGATCAATTCAAGGCCCCGCGGGTGCACCTGTTTCCTGTTCAGGTCCGTAGGTCTTCTCCGAGTACAGACGCCTCCCGCCGTGGAGAACACGCAGAATGCAAGCACGTGAATGCTGCAACTCGCTGCAATCGCACAGTGGCGCATTTTCGGATGCTCTGCGGAAGCATCTTGCGCGCCCGGGCAGTCATCAACATTTGAAGCTGCGATGCGTGTGCGTCAGGTTTTCGATGTCTCGTTTCTGCTCGTTGTCCATGGGCCAGTATCAGCCGCGAACCTTGTTGCTCGAGAGGTATTTTAATCATCACTTTAGCCTCAGCAAAGACATTACCAGGCTTTGGATAGCGTGGTTTTTGCATTCCCGAATAGCTCCAGCGAAACACCCAAACCCTAAATCCTAAACCCTAAACCCTAAAAACCCTCACACTTAGAGTCCCCCACACGTGGGAGCCTCACTCAGCCTCTCTCACTTCCGTGCTGGCGCGTTTCAGGGAGCTCCCAGTGTTCCTTTCTTTTTTTGCGGCGGTTTAGGGTTTAGGGTTTAGGGTTTTGATTTTGGGGTTTTGGTTTTGGGTTTAGGGTGTAGGGTTTAGGGTTTAGAGTTTAGGGTTTAGGGTTTAGGGTTTAGGGTTTTGGGGTCTTAGGTACTACCCATGGGATCCCTTTATACTTGGAGGTTCATTGTACTTCGTTACCCAATTATGACTGTACTTATAACCCTAATGGGTACTTAGGGGGCTTATACGTGGGTTACAACTACACTTTAAGCTGGGTTTTTAGTACCCAGAACCTCCAAGTAGTAGCAGTCCTGAATAGGGATCACAGTCTTCCCCCTTATAATCATATGGTCATATGCAGGCCCTCGTATTCAGGGTGCTCGGAAATGCTCTGTGGAGCCTACTTTGCATCCTCCTAGACAACGCCCAGCAGGGGTGTCAGGCTCGAGCAACGAGTGTTGCGAACCGCATGCAGACAAATCCACTCAACAATCCAATCCCATCCTCTTCACGCAGGCAAAACGAGGGAGAGAGAGCCCCCCTCACCCCCCCCCCCCCAGGTCTGAGTGAGGGCTTCCCTGCTTTTCAGCCCGCATCCTCAAGCCCTAAACCCGGATCAGGGCTTAAGGGCTTTTGTTGGGTTTAGGGTTTAGGGTTTAGGGCTTAGGATTTAGGGTTTAGGGTTTATAGGGTTTAGGGTTTCAGGTTTAGTCTTTAGGGCTTTAGGGCTGTAGGTTTGTGTTTGGCCTGAGGCGGTTAGAGGTTTCGGGGTCTTCGTTTGGCGAAAAAAAGAGTTCATATCAGTGCATGGCTTACCCTGCATGGCCCCTAGATGCTTAGTTTGCATTCCTAAACACTAAATCCTAAACCCTAAACCCTAAACCCTAAAACCCTAAAACCCTAAAACCCTAAAACCCTAAACCCTAAACCTCACCCAGGCTGGTCACAATCTGCTTTTGGATCATCCCAACCTCCATATGTTGGGTTTTTTCAAACAGGTACCACAGCTTAGCTGATTGTTGGTTAGGAGGGAATGAGAGAATGAGGTACCCCTAGATATACCCTTTAAGGGATACTATAGGGTACTGCATATATCCCGCATATATCTACCCTTTTAAGGGACAACATAGGGTACCTCATATATCCCCCATATATATATATATATATACCCTTTTGAGGGATAAAAAGGGTACCTCATTCCCTCATTTCCTACCAACCAACAGCAAGTTAGAGACCTCCCCATGTGCGCCGGCAAGCTGCAGCGAGGGGAGCCGTCCTTGCCTGCTGACGATGACCCAGCTTGTCCTCTAAAGGCCTAAACCCGAAACCCTAAACCCAAAACCTCAAACCTTAAACCTTAAACTCTAAACCGCAGCCATACAGAATTCAAACATGCACATCTGCTTCCTTCCGGGATCATGAGAGGCTGGACCCTTGCCCTCAACACCGAACTTGCTCTGGGTTTAGGGTTTAGGGGTTAGGGTTTAGGGTTTAGGGTTTAGGTAGTAGAAGCAAAGATGGTAATACGAGTAACAATAGCAATCTGAAATGGTAAGAAGGGTAGAAGTAGCAAACCTCGCGAGAATAGCAATAGTTGAAACAGTTTCCTAGTCTAGTAGTACTACCCGTACTAGTAGTAATAGTAATAGCATGAGCATTATTGTGATGCTCACACCCCAAACCCCGAACCCCAAACCCCAAACCTCAAACCCCAAACCCCAAACCGCAAACCCCAAAGACTCAACCCTCAACACTAAACTCCCTAAACCCTAAACCCTAAACCCTAAACCCTAAACCCTAAACCCTAAACCCTAAACCCTAAACCCTAAACCCTAAACCCTAAACCCTAAACCCTAAACCCTAAAACCCTAAATCCCTAAAACCCTAAAACCCTAAAACCCTAAAACCCTAAAACCCTAAAACCCTAAACCCTAAACCCTAAACCCTAAACCCTAAACCCTAAACCCTAAACCCTAAACCCTAAACCCAACATTGGCTCGCAGGCCCCACTCCGCCAGTGCCTTCTGCTGCAGCACCCCGGACACATCAAGGGGGAAGCTTTTCTTGAAGGGCTAGGCTTTGTAGGGTTAAGGGTTTAGGGTTTAGGGTTTGGGGTTTAGGGTTTAGGGTTTCGGGTTTGGGGTTTAGGGTTTAGGGTTTCGGGTTTGGGGTTTAGGGTCCAGGGTCTAGGGTTTAGGGTTTAGGGTGCATATCATGTGTATACGGGAGTGAGGGTTGACAGGGTTCATAGGGTTAAGGCGATGTGACAGTCGCTTTCCCGCGCATCATTGCGCCTGACAGGCAGAGCTTCGCAGCGCCGCTTCCTGCAACGCATGGTGTGGTAGCCGCGGCCTCGGGCGCTCGGATTTAGGGTTGAGGGTTGAGGGTTCATGTAGGGTTTGGGGTTTTTTGTTTGGGTTTAGGGTTGAAGCACAGGTCCTAGTTCATGTAATGGTTTGTAGCAGCGCTGACAAGTCGTTGAAGCCTTCATTCCCTTACTTCATTCGTGTTGGGGAAGTAGGCACCTTCTACCTGCCTCACCTCAGGGGACTATACAGGGTTACAGGGTACCTAATTCCCTCATTCTTTGAGGAACAGGACACCCTAAACCCTAAGCCCTAAGCCCTAAGCCCTAAGCCCTAAACCCTAAACCCTAAACCCTAACCCTAAACCCTAAACCCTAAACCCTAAACCCTAACCCAGGTCAAGTTCCTGGCCATGGGAATGATCTTCCATGCCTTGGGCCCCAGCTTGGGCGGTTGAGAGCGCGCTTCGCAAGACGGAGCGCAGAGGCCCCCAAATATGGGGGGGTTTAGGGTTTAGGGTTTAGGGTTTAGGGGTTTAAGGGTTTAAGGGTTTAAGGGTTTAAGGGTTTAAGGGGTCTAAGGGGTTTAGGGGTTTAGCGGTTTCCGAAAGTAGGGGTACCCTTTCTGGAGATCCCTTGAAGAGGATTCTATTCAATTTGGGGTTTGAAAAGGGGTACCCCTATTCTGGGGAAATGCACAGGGAGGATCCAAAAAGTAGAACTCTTTATCCTAGATAGGATAAGGGGGACCCTTAAAAGGGAACCCCTTCTTAACCCTCTTCTGGCTCTCTTAAACAGGGACCTTATTCAGAGGGTCCCAAGGGCTCCCCTAATCCTATCCCCTACTTTAAGGGTTCCTAAGCATGACCCAAGAGTTAAACCCTAAACCCTAAACCCTAAACCCTAAACCCCAAACCCTAAACCCTAAACCGTAAACCCTAAACCCATTCTGGGATCTTGGAGTCTCCAGAGAGCCCCCCGTGTTTTTTTTCCCCCTGAGCCCTAAAGCCTAAGCCCAAAAACTAAGCAATTTTTGGGCTTAGGGTTTAGGGTTTAGGGTTTAGGGTTTAGGGTTTAGGGTTTAGGGTTTAGGGTTTAGGGTTTAGGGTTTAGGGAAAAAGGGCGGACGCCTGAGGTTGGCTGAGGGAGGCTCTTCACGTGGCGCGCGCTGCCATGCTCGAGGCTCTGATCCCCGACATTCTGCAGTTTAGGGTTTAGGGTTTATGGTTGAGGGGTTTATGGTTGAGGGGTTGAGGGTTTGAGGGGTTGGGGGTTTGAGGGGTTGAGCGTTTGAGGGTTGGAGGGACCCAAACCCTCAACCCCAAATCATGGGTGATCTTTGGGAGGGCAAGAACATAGGGCTAGCTAGGGCACAAAACATCCTACTTATAAGTACCCATGAACGTCCACGTGCTCATAGATCTCGGAGGCCTCCCCCCAAAACCCCAAATACCCTAAACCCCCAACTACCCTAAGACCCTAAACCCCAAATACCCTCAAACTCTAACCGCCAAACACCCCAAACGCCCTAAAGTCGGTCCTGCAAAGGCCGTCGAGAGGCAGCACAACATCATCTTACAGGAGATCGTTATCAAGCTGGAGGCGGCGTGGGGTTGAGGGTTCGCAGGGTTTTTTTGGGGTTCAGGTTTTAGGGTTTAGGATTTGGGGGGGCGGGGGGGGGGGGGGGTTCAGGGTTTGGGGGGCCCTAAACCCTAAACCCTAAAACCCTAAACCCTAAACCTAAACCCTAAACCCTAACCCCTAAAAACCCCTAAACCCCTAAACCCCTAAACCCCTAAACCCCTAACCCCTAAACCCCTAAAACCCTAAACCCCTAAACCCCTAAACCCTAAACCCCTAAACCCCTAAACCCCTAAACCCTAACCCTAAACCCTAAATCCTAAATCCTAAACCCTAACCCTAAACCCTAAACCCTAAACCCTAACCCCTAAACCCTAACCCTAAACCCTAGACCCTAAACCCTAAACCCTAAGCCTAGACCCTAACCCCTACACCCTACACCCTCAACCCTCAACCCTCAACCCTCAACCCTCAACCCTAAACCCTAAACCCTAAACCCCTAAACCCCTAAACCCTAAAGCCTAAAGCCTAAACCCTAAACCCTAAACCCTAAACTCTAAACCCTAAACCCTAAACCCTAAACCGCTGAGCCCCCTTTACCGGAGGACAGCAGCCCGCCGACAAAGACACATCTGTCGCTTCCGGGCCAACCAGCACCTCCTCACAGCATCTCGGCCACCCGCGACCACCAGTGGGTTTAGGGTTTAGGGTTTAGGGTTTAGGGTTTAGGGTTTAGGGTAGGGTTTAGGGTTTAGGGTTCCTCACAGCGCCGAGGCCAAAGCGGTGACCATGTTCCGACTGCCCAGGGCTCAGTAGCTCGACAGCTTTCAGGTTTGGGGTTCAGTGTTTAGGGTTTAGAGCTAGGGTTTAGGTTTGGGGTTTAGGGCCAGGGTTCAGTGTTTAGGGTTAGGTTTAGGGTTGAGGGTTGAAAGGGGTTTAGGGTTTAGGGTTGAAAGGGCTTGGGGTTTAGGGTTCGGGTTTGGGGTTAAAAGGGTTTGGGGTTACAAGGGTTTAGGGTTGAAAGGGTTTAGGGTTTAGGGTTGAAAGGGTTTACAGGTTCTGGGTTTAGGGTGTAATGCGGCTGAGTGTTTCGGGTTTGTCTTTTTAGGGCGTATAAGGTTTTGGGTTTGGGGTTTGGGGTTTGGGCGGCGTTAGGCCATCCGGCCCTAAACCCTAAACGCTAAACTTGGCTGTAAACCCTAAGCCCTAAACCCTAAACCCTAAATTCCCACCCTATGAACCCGAAACGATGGCTGATCCAGACCCGAGTGAGGTGAGGCACGACAGCGAGGAGAGCATCGCCAGGCCCGCGGCACTTCTGCTTGGAGGGTTACAGGATTTGCAGGGTTTAGGGTTTAGGGTTTAGGGATTTGGGTTTAGGGTTTAGGGGTTCAAGGAGTTAGAGGGTTTAGAACGTGGGGTTCTGTAGGGTTTCTTGGGTTCATCGGGTTGACAGGGTTTGCACGGTTTTGGGGGGTTCAGGGTTTTAGGGTTTTAGGGTATACAGGGCTTAGGGTTTAGGGTATTTGAGAAGGTCATCATGGTCTCGTGAGCTTTTACACTCGGGGCTGTAGGCAGTGTAGGGTTTACAGGGGTTCTTGGAAGCCTCTTACTTCACATGACCCAGGAATCTTCAAGTCATGTGTGCGCTGGAGGTAGTCTGAAAACTTGACCTCAGGAGCCTATCCGGAACAAACTACCGGCCGCAGATCTCCCAAAACTCCGCGACACAGCTGAAATTATCTGCGAGTAGAGGGCCAGGTTGGCTTTGGTCGCACTTTCCAGAGTCCGGTCGGAACTTATGTAAGATCGCATGCCGAAGGTGTAGGGGCCTTGCAGCAAGCAAGCGTGTGCAAGACCTCTCATGCTTTCGCAAAAATTGCCCAAACCCTTGGAACCTTAAGGTTTGTGCGCAGTGCATGTTGCTACAACACTTGGTTTATAAGAAGTGAACACATGACCCGAAGACCCTGCTATGTTGGTACTACAGGAAGAAGATACTGCCTAATGGAATGAGTTCCATGATATTGGGATTCGCTTCGCTTGTTCACTTCTTTCTCGCGGTTTGTAAGCACCAGATAAAAAGTAGGAGAATGAACTCAGCGCACCAACTTAATGTTGTAAGCGCAGTGAGTTCGTTTCGTTCATTTCGTTCATGCCCCTTTATAATATTTTCACGTGTATTCACTCACTCTCTTCGTAGTGCTGTTAATATTGTCTTCGGGCGTGCACTATTATTCTCTTCGCTCGCACGCCATTAGTAAAGCATAGTGTTTTTGGGGTCAAAAGGCCCCACACATAGTTGTAAGCGCTTGCGCGCGCCGGCTCGGCAGCCGGGCTGGGCCAGAGCAGGGTGCAGTATGTGGAGACGAGAGGTCTGTGGCGGGGTTCCTTCAGAGGTGCAAACAGGGGTTGTGCAGGAGACGCCGGGGCGGTCCCACACGGAGGGGGTGCTTGGGGGCGCGTCACTAAAACTCTCGGCAGGAAGCCGAGGCGAATTATAGTACAGTACTTTATGGGAAGAAGAACCCCGCAGGCATTATTAGCACTTGTCAGCTCGCATCCACGCCCCCACATCGTTCTTCAACAGAACCCTGTGGTTTTAAAACGACCTCAGGCCCCTCTTCTTCCAAGGGTTTGGGGTGAGGGACCCCAAGCCCCAAACCCTAAACCCGAAACCCGATTCCCCAAACCCCCAGGATCTACGAATAATTACATGATCCCCTACTGTGGTCCCTTACCTTCTTTAAAGGGTTGTGAAGTATGGGCCCTTGGGTTTTATAGGTGAAAAAGGGATTCCCATTGAAGGGCCTATACTAAGGGACCATGTAACTATCCTAAGCCCTACCCCCTAACCCCTGAACCATAAACCCCAACCCCTAAACCCTGAACCCTAGACCCTAAACCCTAAACCCTAAACCCTACACCCTACACCCTAAACCCTAAACCCTGAACCCTAGACCCTAAACCCTTAACCCTAATCCCTAAACCCTAAACCCCGAAACCCTAAACCCTAAACCCTAAACCCTAAACCCCACCGAGCCGAGGATCGAGCTTTCAAGGGCACATCGTCCACCAAAAACTCTGCGTTCATTGCGGCCATACGCAAGCGTGGGCTTGGCAGCCACCTGGGGTTTAGGGTTTAGGGTTCAGGGTTTAGGGTTTAGGGTTTAGGGTTCAGGGTTCAGGGTTTAGGGTTTGGGGTTTAGGGTTTAGGGATACGAAAATATGGGACCCCCCAATACAGATCCCCAAATAGTAGGATCCCCTTATAATAAGGACCCCCCAAGAAGGTACCCCTTTCATTCCGGAAACCCCGCCACCGATTTTTTTGGGAGCTTGTTAGGGTTCTAGGGGGCTATTAGGGGTTTTGAGGGTTTGAGGGGTTCTAGGTTACTAGGCTTCTAGGGTTATGGTTTTAGGGTTTTGGGTTTAGGGTTTGAGGGTTTTAGGGTTTTCAGGTGTAGAGTTTTAGGTTTTTAGGGTTTTAGCTTTTAGGTTTGTACTGTTTTAGGGTTTAGGGTCCGCCGGGCTTTTGTTTTCTCTCTCTTCTGTTCTGAGGGGGGTTAGAGCAGAAAGTTTGAGCACAATTAAAGGCCTGATGGTTGAGGGTTATTGTTTTGGAACGACAGGGATTAGTGGCTTGCAGGGCGGATACGGGGCTTCCGGGGATGTATGCGTTTGCGTTTCTTCTTGGGCGTTTAGGGTTTAGGGGTTCAGGGTCGAGGGTTTAGGGTTTAGGGTTTAGGGTTTAGGGTTTAGGGTTTAGGGTTTAGGGTTTAGGGCCCTAAACCATCCTCTATGTTTCAGTTGCCCTTGATTTGAGTTTTTTGCGTGGGCCGCAATCCTGTCTCCCCACTTCCAAGCCCTGTCGGGTTTTGGGTCTATCGGGCCTCGGAACCCCGAAGCCTATACGGGTAGCCCTAAACCCGAAACCCTAAACCCTAAACTCAAACTCCAAACCCTAAACCCTGAACCCTAAACCCTGAACCCTAAACCCTAAACCCTAAACCCCAAACCCTAAACCCTAAACCCTAACCCCTAAACCCTGAACCCTAAACCCTAAACCCTAAACCCCAAACCCTAAACCCTAAACCCTAAACCCTAAACCCTTGGAATCATGGGCCAAGGTGGTCGGGCCAGCGACCGCTTGTCCGGGGCCCTGACTCGGCCCATTTGGCACCCAGGATGGGTGCTTTTAAGGGCTTGGGGCTTTATTTAAAGGGTTGAGGGCTTGGGGTTTAGGGTTGTTCAATCCCTAAACCCTAAACCCTAAACCCTAAACCCTAAACCCTAAACCCTAAACCCTAAACCCTAAACCCTAAACCCTAAACCAAACCCTAAACCCTAAACCCTAAACCTAAACCCTTTAAACCCTAACCCAACCCTAAACCTAAACCCTAAACCCTAAACCCCCCCCCCCCCCCCCCACAAAAACCCGAAGCTTCGGGTTGAGGCGGGGGTTCTAGTGAGCCCCCCCCCCCCCCATTTTCTTGCTCCTTTTTTGTGGTTCCCTACACAACTTAGATGATCATGGAGACTCTTTAAGGGGCAAGGGTTTAGGGTTTGGGTTTGTTCAATCCCTAAACCCTAAACCCTAAACCCTACACCCTCCGAAGGGACTAGATCGGACTAGATCTTTCAGGGTTTAGGGTTTAGGGTTTGGGTTTTAGGGTTTAGGGTTTTAGGGCTTCCCTAGCAGGATCTCACAGCCTCTGACATGCTTGGGCGAGAGGACGCCTCGTGAACAGCACGCATTTCGACATCTTCTTCTGCGTCATCATTTTGCTCAACACGGTGGTGCTCCTTGGCCGAAGGTGAGATAAGTCGGGGCTCCCCCCGAGCCCACCCCAAAATCCCTAAACCCCTGAAACCCCCCTAACCTCCCAAAACGCCAAACTCTCCAAACGCTAAGCTCCCTAAACTCCCCTAAACCCGAAACTCCCTAAACCTCAAACTCCACAAACCCGAAACTCCCCAAACCCTAAACTCCCCAAACCCGAAACTCCCCAAACCCTAAGCTCCATAAACCCGAAGTACCCAAAGCCTTGAACCCTGAGCTCCCTAAACCCACACCCTACACCCTAAACCCTAAACCCTAAACCCGAAACCGCTTTCTTGCTTTGCGCAGACGCTGCGCAGCCGAGGATGGGTCTCGAGTTGCAGTACGCTGGCTTGCAGAGAGGCTACGAGCTCGGCTACCCCAACTTCACCTTGCCTGCAAGCCTCTTGGTTTAGGGTTTAGGGTTTAGGGTTTAGGGCCGTTTAGGGTTTAGGGTTTGGGGTTTGGGGTTTAGAGTTTAGGGTCGAAGCCCTAAACCCTAAACCCTTTGTTGGCCCAGGAAGGGAACCTTGTAATAAGGTGAGTTGTGGCCGCATGCTGAAGATGTCTTCACGGCTCTCGCTTCTTGTCTGCAGATGGGATGCGTGAAGCCCTTACCTACACTTCAAAACTGCCCCTTGAGATTCTCATATCATATGCCCTAAACCCGAAACCCTAAACCCCAAACCCTAAACCCTCAGGGTTCGTGGGCATTTGGGGTCACTAGGGCCCTAGGGTTTGAGGTTTAGGGTCTAGGGTTTATAGGTGTAGGCCAACCCTCAACCCTGAACCTCAAGCCTCAGACCCTCAACCGAAGGACTGGGCCTTCGGCATTGTCTACGTGATTGAGATTGGGGTTCGAATTGCTGGAACTAGGTGTGGTCCTTTTTCCAAATACCCTAAACCTTAAATCCTAAACCCTAAACCCCATAAACCCTAAACCCTAAACCCTAAACCCTAAACCCTAAACAGGTGGGCGTTTTTCCGGGATGCCAACAACTGGTTTGACACCTCGTTGGTGCTTCTGTGGTTGGGGGAGCTCTCCTGGAGTCAGCATCTGCCCGTGGATTCCGGCATGCTGCGATTCTCGATGCATTACTTCAGTTTTCAGCTATTATCTTGCACCGAAACCGGCAAAAAAACAACCTAGAATCCTACATCCTAAATCCTGAACCCTAAAGCCTAAAGCCTAAAGCCTAAACCCTGAACCCTAAACCCTAAAGCCTGCCACCCTGTGTGACCTGCGCTCAGCCCAGGAACGCTGCGCCTGGCAAGGATTCTTCGCCTCTAGGATGTCCACTTTTGCAGGTTCATGGGTACTTTTGGGGTTTTGGGATTAGAGGGTTTAGGGTTTAGGGTTTAGGGTTTGGGGTTTTGGGTTTAGGGTTTAGGGTTTAGGGTTTAGGAAGCCCCGCCCTACACAAAAGCACAGATGAACCTTCAGGCAGTGATCCCCCTGACATTCAGTCAGTTGTTGGGTGAAGATCCAAAGATTTCGCCTAGGGCAACGACAAGGGGAGGGTGCCTGTTGCTTCAACCCCTACACCCCAAACCCCAAACCCTAAACCCCAAACCCTAAACCCCAAACCCGAAACCCCTAACCCGAAACCCCAAACCCCAAGCCCTCAACTCAAGAACCCCAAACCCTAAACCCCAAACCCTAAACCCCAAACCCCAAGCCCTCAACTCAAGAACCCCAAACCCTAAACCCCAAACCTTAAACCCCAAACCCCAAGCCCTCAACTCAAGAACCCCAAACCCTAAACCCCAAACCCTAAACCCCAACCCCAAAGCCCTCAACTCAAGAACCCTCAACTCAAGAACCAGGCCTGGTTAGACTCATGCGAACGATGCAGGGCTTTGATGCCCTGAGCCCAGGCTGCATGTTGGCCTCACGTAGGGTTTAGGGTTTAGGGTTTAGGGTTTAGGGTTTAGGGTTTAGGGTTTAGGGTTTAGGGTTTAGGGTTTAGGGTGTTGGTTTAGGGTTTAGGGTGTAGGGTTTGTGGTTTGGGGTGTAGGGTTTAGGATTCAGGGTTTAGGGTTTGGGGTTTGGGGGTTTAGGGCTTAAGGCTTACTTGATATTGAGGCTCATGAGTTTGGGGCTCAGGATTTTGGATTTGAGGTTTAGGGTTTAGGGTTTTGGGTTTAGTTGAAGGTAGGGCCTACAAGGTTTTCAGTTTCGGCTCCGGGGGGTGGAGCGCTGGGACTGTCCAGGCCAGCTTGCGAATGATTTCGGGAGTTAGAATCCCAAACCCTAAACCCTGAGCACTGAACCTTTTAAACCCTAAACCCTAAGTCCCTACAGGTTTAGATAGGGAGGGTAGAAGGTATCCTCATTCTATAGCTCCCTACGAACAACTAGTTTAGGGTCTAAGTGATGCCTCCGCAGTATGCCCCTATCGTTTTATACGTCTCTTCACCCTATGAGTCAAGGTCTGTGTATGTATATTTTATTGATTTATTTACATGTTTTCTATTTATGCATGTATGTGTGTATGTCAAAGTACGTATGCATATGACGTACGAATATTATGTATGTATGTATGCGCTCTGTGAAAATACCAATCGCATGAACCAAGGTTTTTGTGTGTATGAATCATGATTTATTTCATGTGTAATGTTCCGCAATGAAGGTGTTGGGCTCTGGCTCCTCTCACCAAGCAATAACCACTCAGATCTCACCCCATACCCTTAAACTCTTGAACTCTTAAACCCTTAAACCCTTAGACCCGTAAAAGCCCTTCAGCCCTAAGCCCTAAACCCTAAACCCTAAACCCTAAACCCTGAACCCTAAGAGTCAGAGTCTGAGGTACATCATGACAACTGCCATGTACGGGAGCCTGGTTGTGCTCTTTTGGTCATTCATGCGCCTTTGCAGCAGAAGGGTTTAGGGTTTAGGGTTTAAGGTTAGGATTTGGGTTTTTGGGGAGGCGCGTCAGGTCTCGCTACTGCATGCATTGTCGTGTGTTGTCGCAGTGCCACGTCTCAGGCTACTTCTGCTCGTGCAGACGACGATCGCATTTTGCCTGACCCAGATTTTGGGAGGCTTCTTTCATGATGCTGATGTGTCTGCCACTTGTCGAGCACCCGATTCCTGCGCAACTTTTGGACTGCTTGCACGTTGGTTGCAAACTCTAAGTCCTAAACCCTAAACCCTAAACCTTAAACCCTAAACGGTCTTTGGGTTTACGAGGTTACGAGGATTGCAGGGGGAAATATTCCTCAGATGGTATTAAGGGCCAACCTCTTGGGATGTTTCCCCTTGTACCAACAGTCCGTAATAGTTAGGGGTTACAATCGGGGGTACTAGAATCGCTACTAAACCCTAAACCCTAAACCCTAAACCCTAAACCCTAAACCCTAAACCCTAAACCCTAAACCCTAAACCCTAAACCCTAAACCCTAAACCCTCTGTCAAGAATTCAGGTCTCGCAGAAGATCGAGGTTTTTCAGTATTTCGGGACAGCGTCCCGATCAATGTTTACCATGTTCGAGCTTACACTGGCGCGTCATGGCTTCGTCAGCTTTAAACGTTTGGGGTTTAGGTTTAGGGTTTAGGGTTTAGGGTTTAGGGTTTAGGGTTTAGGGTTTAGGGTTTAGGGTTTAGGGTTTAGGGTTTAGGGTTTAGGGTTTAGGGTTTAGGGTTTAGGGTTTAGGGTTTAGGGTTCCATGGCTTCGTCAGCTTTACACGTTTGGGCTTCGGGATGTGTTAAAATGTCCAAACGTTGGCTGCAAGATGATGCCAGATACAAGCTTTGTAGCCCAGTGGTACCCTTTATCTCATTTTTTGGTTCTGGGTTCCCTTATAAAGTAACCAGCCTAAAAGGGTGCCCTTACTATAATCTGGCGGCTTACAAAAATAGGGGACCCCTTTTGTGGACACCCATATCGTAGGATCCCTGTAGCATAAGGACCCCAATAAGATACGTACCCCCCTTAATTTTTCGGAAGTCCCCAAATATGGTTCCTGGGCTACCAAGCCCTAAACCCTAAACCCTAAACCAAACCCCAAAAAGGGCGCCCTTGCTATAACATGGTTCCTGGGCTACCAAGCAAGGAACTGGAGCATTGTTGGACGAAGTCTGCAAGAGAACGTGTCTGCATCCCGCCTGAGTGAAAGTTCCCAACTGCCCGAAACCCTGGGTGCGGGTTTCGGGTTTCGGGTTTAGGGTCTAGGGTTTAGCTGGGTTCGGGTTTAGGGTTTAGGGTTTAGGGTTTAGGGTTTAGGGTTTAGGGTTTAGGGTTTAGGGTTTAGGGTTTGGGGTTTGGGGTTTGGGGTTTGGGGTTTGGGGTTTGGGTTCAGAGTTTAGGATACAGGATTCAGGGTTTAGAGAGTAGACCCTGACACCCGAGCCTCCGCAAGCAAGCTTCAGGAGTGCTTGCTGGTCCTTTCACATCTGGGCAGACCCTAAACCCTAAACCCTAAACCCTAAACCCGAAACCCGAAACCCTAAACCCTAAACCCTAAACCGTAAGTTTGGATTTCAACCAGCCCCTTGGTCCATGTTGGCAAACATCGACTGCTGGAGCCTAAGGAATGGTCGATACTGTGTATTTACCCCCCCCCCCCCCCTGATGATGCCTGAGAAGTTGTACAATCTACTATTTCTAAATAGCTTTATGTACCCCCCCCCTCCCCCCTGATGACCCCGAAAAGAAGTTGTACAATATAATAATTCCAAGTAACTCGGCCCGCCAAGCCCGAAACTGCCTTTGGTTCACGCACGGACGTTTTGTCCACACTCCGCGGTTTCGGACGGCATGGTCTTGGCTTGGAGAACTTTCGTACAGTTTTGGGGGTTGTAGGTTTCAAGGACATGGTCACTTCTCTAAAATACCTCTTGGGGTCCAAAAGGGACCATATTTCATGTTTGAGAACAGTCCACATGTTCTAGTCGGCATGCGCACCGTTCGTAGGCGATGTGTGCGCTGCACTCTGTTTTCATAGTTGCTTGGCTGCGGTATTCCGTGCAAGGAGTACTTTGCAATCTTCAACGTTGCCTACAAGCTGGTCGTGGGATTTGCTGCGGTGGGAATCATCAATGCGGTTTTCATGCAGGCATGGAAGTGAATGGCATTTCTCCTTTGGTTTCCGCGCACGTCGCTGTAGCCCTGAGACCTTACGTACAAGTACTTTTCGCCATGACGACCACCAATACTGCCTCAAAAACAGGAAACATTCAAAGTGGCCTCATCGGACGACAACGTGATGATGCGGCAGAAGGACCTCTTGAAAACAAAGAATGGAGGGCGGCCCAACGCCAGTCAGAGCCACAATGCATGATGACATGTTGCCATATCGTGTGCCTCGGAAGGAGCGGGATTTGCGAATGCACACAAAGAAGATGAAGACTTTGTTCGAGGCTGCTGACGAGTCTGGTGATGGCGTCGTCGCAACTTCGATGCAATGCCGTGTCCCTGCAAGCAGCCTGTGCTGAAACATTCGTGCAGTGCCCGAATCTCCGCACGTGCAGCTTCATCTAGCCATGCTTCACCGAAGCGTCAAAGGACATTGACGAGTTCAGGAAAATTTTTGAGCTGCCGGAGATCAGGACACAGATCCTCCACCGTCGCTTGCAAGCTTTGTTGATGGCCGTGTTTGGTGTAGGGCATATGTTGCATAGCATTCAAGTCTACCCGCGTTGGTATAAAATGAGGAAGAGCATCTATCGAGTGGGATGTTCCCCCTTATACGAACAGTCCTCAAAAGGGATTATAATTTGGGGGGCCCTATAATCCCCGTTAAGGACTGCTAGTATAAGGGGGAGAATCCCAATGTATCAACACACGGCGTGACATTGAATCATGTAGGGTTTAGGGTTTAGGGTTTAGGGTTTAGGGTTCATGGGGGCTGCAACCGATCCACCGCACTCCAGGGGTTGGGTCATTGAGTCAGGCAGCCTTCGTGCCACATGACATTGACGATGTTTCGGCTTCACATGAGTTTAGGGTTTAGGGTTTAGGGTTTAGGGTTTAGGGTTAGGGGTTAGGATTTGGGATTTAGGGTTTAGTCCAAGCCATTTGCTGGTGACTCGTAATCTGGTGTCGTTACAATGTAACCAACGTTTTTTTATCTCTGTCATTCAAGCCTCACATGTACATGCGCATGTCCCGTAAAACTTACGTGATACTTCCAAGGCACTTACAAATCATGCCCATACCGGTGATTCACAACACGAGTGCGAAGTTTTCTCCGTATGCAGCATCTGACCTTACATCATGACCTCCAGTTCTGCCCCTTACATCCTTCCTCTATGGTGTGTAGTGTGTATCAGCAGAGGGTTCCGTAGTAGCAGGAAGTAAGGCCTTAGATCCGTACCCCATGGAGCGGACCCTCCCCCACATATGAACGACACCACGCTATTAGTCGCCTGCATCCTCACTTGATTGAGGGTTTAGGGCAGACTCAATAACCCCCCGCGTCCAAAGAGGACTTGGTTGTCCGCGCAAGAGTTACCAGTCGGAAATCCCGATCTTCTCTTTACGCTGCTCGATGACGGGGATGGTGGGCTCACAGCCGAAACTGGGTTTGCAACTAGGGCTACGATGCATCGCCCTAAACCCTAAACCCTAAACTTTAAACCCAGTGATTAACCCTACACCCTACACCCTAAGATGCAACCATGCTGAAGTTGCTGCTTGCCTTTCAAAACGTATGTCAGTCACCCTCAACCCCCCAGAACCCTTTCTAACGCCACATGCTTTCAGCCTCTGTCTGGTCTGTATCCCAAGCTGTCACCCTCTAGTCCATATGCTCCAAAGCCCTAAGCCCTAAATCCTAAACCCTAAGCCCTAAACCCTAAACCCTAAACTCTCGACCCTCGACCCTAGACCCTAGACCCTAAACCTACAACCCGAAACCTACAACCCGAAACCCGCAACCCGAAACCATAAACCCAAAACCCAAAACCCAAAACCCTAAACCCTAAACCCTAAACCCTAAACCCTAAACCCTAAACCCTAAACCCTAAACCCAACACGGCATGAGGAAGAGTTGGTGAAAGGCGTCGATCGCCTGAAGGGTGCTGCCAAGGGCTCCTTGGTAGTGTCAGGCGGCACACTACATGCATACCTTCTGAATGCAGAGGTATATGTAAATATATGTATATGCACATGTGCATATACATTATATATACATATGTATATATGTATATATATATAGATATACATGAACCCTAAACCCCTAACCCCTAAACCCTAAACTCCAAATCCTAAACCCTCAACCCTAAACCCTAAACCCTCAACCCATGCTGAGGGATGGATTTGGAAGCGTTTGTCATGGAGCACCGCACCATGGACCCCGTTCAGCCCAATTTTTCTGGGGGGATATTCAGTAGGCAGCCTAACTCTCATTGTAGGCCCAGTACCATATCCCCCTTGGGAATTATGTTGTGTTTTTGTTTATATAAAACCCGAGAGGATGTTAAGAAACATATCGTGTTGATTAAGGTTCTAAGGGGAGTATCGAGTAGCCCCCCCCCCCCCCCTTTCCCTAGGCCCTAGCCCTTACAAGACCCATGAAGAAAACAAAGGGGCCACTCTCTCTTTCATTGCACTATTGGGCAGCCTAGCTTAGAAAAGGTCCTTAGGGGTACGAGTCTTAGTCCCTCGTGCATTAGCTTTTGGTTGTCGCGAGTTGGGTCGTGCCATCGAAGGCCGTCCTTCCGGGCCGTTTAGTTTTTCTGGGGCTTTTAGGTGTTTAGGTTTGGGTTTGGGGTTTTAGGAGCATGGGGTTTGTGGGTTTGTGCGTTTTAGGGTTTTAAGTTTTAAGTTTAGGAGTTTTGGTGATGGGCAGTGCAATCCAAACAATGAGAGTTGAGCTTGTTCGCTCGCAGATACTGTGCATGACATGGGGAGTTCTCAGCTCAGGTGCTTTTGTGAAGCGGATTTTCGAAAGGCTTGACATTCCTGACCCGGATCATAACACTGCAGCTTGCGTAGCCAGCAACCCTCACGATGATTGAGGCCTTTTTCGTCAAGTTGGCCGCTGTGCCAGTATGTATAAATTCGAAGAGGTTTTAGGGCTTACTTACGTTCTGGGTTAAAGGTCTAGAGGGTTTGGGTACCTTAAATCGGTGCTTTGCCGGGGGAAGCGAATTGGCAATCGTGCCGGTGCAACCTTTCTCGAGACAGCTCCATTCTGGGCAACTCTAAACCCTAAACCCTATAAACCCTTTAAAGCCGGTAAAAAACCTACACACCCTATAAACCCCTATAAAACCCTATGAAACCCTATGAAACCCTATGAAACCCTATAAACCCTATGAAGGGGTTCTATGAGGTAGCGAACTCCCTGATTTCTTAGTGTAGCTACACGGTCCCTTCATACGGGGCCACCTTCTGTACCCCATAAAACCCAAGGGCCCCATACTTCAGAACCCTTTAAAGAAGGTAAGGGACCACATTAAGAGCCCATGAAACTACCCGGATCACGGGTCCTAGATTGCCGTGGTGTTTGGGTGTGCGAAAACGTACGTGTTACCTGGGTTGCTGGAGGATTCCTAAAACAGGAGGCCAAAAAAACTGCAAAAAAACTACTTCGATGTTTACTGAATTGGGGGCTTTGGTGTGAGATGAGATCATACTTCAGCCAAAGGCATGGACGCTTGTGACAGCTCTTCTTCTTCCACATCCTTGCGCAGTATGTTGTACAACGAGGCGAAAACGTGGAAAATACCAGTGTTTTGGGCATCGTCGCAATTGGCATGGACGCTTGTGACAACGTGTCCTGCTCCGCATTGTTGCGCGGTATGTCGTACAACGAGGCAAAATCGCGGTAAATACCAGTGTTTTGGGCATCCTCGAAATTGGCATGGACGCTTGTGACAACGTGTCTTGTTCCACATCCTTGCGCAGTGTGTTGTACAAAGAGGCGAAAACGCAGTAAATACCCGAGATTTGTTGGAAGCAATATGAATGACGTTCTTATCCCCCCCTCCCCCCCCCCTCCCCCCCAAAGCCGGAAACAGGCCATAGATTGCCGAAAATGCCGAAAACCTCGCGGCAATCTAGGACCCGTGATCCAACTACCCGTAGATCATCCCCTAAACCCTAAACCCTCAACCCTAACCCTAAACCCTAAACCCTAAACCCTAAGTCCTAAATCCTAAATCCTGAACCTGAAACCCCAAACCCTAAACCCTAAAAAACAGTAAAAGGTTGGTTTATGCAAGCTCGTAGGGGATATGCTTAGGGTTTAGGTTTAGGGTTTAGGGTTTAGGGCTTAGGGTTTAGGGTTTAGGGTTTAGGGTTTAGGGTTTAGGGTTTAGGGTTTAGGGTTTAGGGTTTAGGGTTTGGGGGTTGGTAGGAAGTTCGGGAAGTTACGGGATGAAGGTTCTAATGGTGAGGTTTGGGGGTGTTAGGGCTTAGGGTTCAGGGTTTTGTAGGGCTTTTTTGGGTTTAGGGTTTAGGGTTTAGGGTTTAGGGTTTCTGGCTCTAAGGGAGGTATCGGAAAGGTGATCTGCCCGGACATGTCTCGCTCTGAATTCATGCCAACCTGCGGCACCCATCCTGACAATCAGGACTGTGCAGAGTTTGCATGTCGAGTTTACGAGTGTTTAGGGTTTAGGGTTTAGGGTTTAGGGTTCAGGGTTCAGGGTTCAGGGTTCAGAGCTCAGGATTTTAAGGCTTAGGGTCAAGGGCTGTTTTGTCTGCGGCCTCCCAAGGAGGATCCCCAGACCGCCGCTGTCCGCAATTTATTTTTGGTATAGGGTTTAGGGTTTAGGGTTTAGGGTTTGGGGTTTAGGGTTTAGGGTTTAGGGTTTAGGGTTGAGGGTTGAGGGTTGAGGGTTGACACATCGTCGGCAGCGATGAGGGGCGAAACAGAAGCGTTTGCACAGACCTTTGTGGAATAGTTGTAAAGAAGATGTAGATTTGTTTACATTGGGCTTTCCTATTGTAACACACTAAACCCTAGACCTTAAACCCCAAGCCCTAAACCTTAAGCCTTAAACCTGAAACCCTAAACCCTAAACCCCAAACCCCTAATTCCGAAACCCTAAACTCGAATTCCCAAGCCCTAATCCCTATCCAATGATGCGCGAAACACCCAGAATACCTATTTACCCCAACTTAAGCTTAGGGTTAGGGGTTTACTGGCTGGCCCTTTGTAGGGAATGAGGGAATGAGGGCCTTGTATATACCCTTTAAGGGATTATATGGGGCCCTCATTCCCTCATTCCCTACTAAGAACCAGGGGGTTTCAAGGTGTAGGGTTTCCGGGTTGACGGTGCCAGGGTAAGAGGATAGGATTCTCAGGTGGAACTTTTGGTTTGATGGTGGGTTTAGGGTTTGGGGTTTCGAGTTTAGGGTTCAGGGTTTTTCCGCGTTTCCCCTGTGTTTTCGCACATTCCTGTTAACCCATAGAATCTAAACCATTCCCCCTAAGCCATTAAACAGTATATATATATATATATGTATGCACATTTTATGCATGTCTATGTACATAGATGTACGTGTGTGTGTGTGTGTGTGTGTGTGTGTGTGTATGTGTCAATGGGCTTTGAGAGCGTTTGATTGCCGCAGGCCGGGCACAGAACGAGCACGCGCGCAAACGCCGTACTTCTATGACATGACACCCTAAACCCTACAACCCGGGCGCTGCGGCCTTCGAGGTCAGCGTTGAATCGCCCCCAGCCTGTCACGAGGGTCATCCTTTGCAGGTGCCTCGCCCCAAGTACCTAAACCCTATACACCCTATACACCCTATACACCCTATACACCCTATACACCCTATACACCCTATACACCCTATCCACCCTATCCACCCTTTGCACCCCATACACCCTACACACCCTATACGCCCTATACACCCTATACACCCTAAACCCTAACCCTAAATTCTAGTGCCTGAAAAGCCATGCTGCGCAGCCACACTATGCCTACACCGGCATGAAGAAGTGGTGCGCGGTGCCCCTGCTTCTTGCCATTAGTAGTGCCGAGCTCTGCTTACCTGATGCCATCCCCGAAGGGGAGCGTCAGAGCGTGCTTGACCCCGCGGGCAGGGAGATCCCGATCAAGTTTATAGTTTTCAACTGGCATGCAGCGGAGCTCATTTCTGCTATCGCCAAAATCCTGGTGGAGGAGGCTCTTGGATACCGTGCGGTCTTCGACCAGCATAGGCCATCGACGGTCATGGAAGTCGCATTGAAATTGTCCGGATGCTTGGATAGCACCTGCAACGACATGCAGATCAGCGGCTTACTTCGCCAAGAGTCGAACTTTAAGCTTGTTGGGTTCTCTTATTGAGCAGGAATAATAAAGTTGAACACCTCTTTTTTCGTAGGAATAATGAAGTTTAACCCCTTTTTCCCCTTACTTAATCGGAGAAGTAAGGCGACAGCCACGTGGCTCTTGACTGCTGGCTGGGGTCCGCGGGAACCGATTCCTTGACCTTCATGCAGCAGCATCCCGGAAAGGCTCCGGAAGATCCTTAGGGAGACTTTGGAAATATTTATATTGTTTGGGGTACTCCAATTCCTAAGCAACAGCTAAAGTTATAGTTTTGGGGTACGATTATATTTCCTAAGGAAACAGCTGAAATTATGATTTTGCTAGGGTTCCAAGTTCAGTGTAGGATCTTGGTTCCATTGGCTACGAAGGGGAGGAAGCGCTGGTCGTTGCAGGGAAGCTCCCTGGCTTTTAGGGTTTAGGGTTTAGGGTTTTCTTGGCTTTCTTCTGGCTGGCTCTTAGGACTTCAACCTTTTGAGGGTTGTTGAAGAAAAGACCTACAAAGAAGGGAGCCCAAAAAAGTCAAACGCTTAGGAGGGGCTCAGCAGTCAGCGCCAAGGCTCGTTGAGGAAGCCTACGAGGATTCCGGCTTCGCCTTGGACTTCTACAGGACCTACAACCAGTCCCACTACAATGCTAAGAAGCACTTTGCCGGAACAGCCGACCTCCCGATCCAGGACTATGGTCCGAGTTGACGATCCAGACCCTAGACCCTAAAGCCACTAGTAGCCCTAAACCCTAAACCCTCAACTCTGGTAGCCCTAAACCCTAAACCCTAAACCCTAAAGCCTAAAGCCCCTAGTAGCCCTGAACTCTCAACCCTAAACCCCAGGACTTCTTCCGATGTGACAATCCAGCAACCATCTTTACCGACGCGCCTTACATGAACGATTACGCACGCTGGTCAGGCCACTGGTGCGGGGGTTTAGGGTTCGGGATTTCCCTTTTCCCATCCTTTTCCCCAAACCCTAAACCCTAAACCCTAAACCCTGAACCCTAACCCTAAACCCTAAACCCTAAACCCCAAACCCTGAACCCTAAACCCGAGATTATGAGGCTTCGGGTTTAGGCGGTTCTGTTGAATGCCGGGAAGGTGATACGGCTGGGCTGCTGGCGGTGGAAGGAGGCTATCACGCTTCTGGGTTGCTGTTTCCTTCTTTTGCTCTTAGTAGGGAACTATAGGCAAGTGGTAAGTGGTTGTATGGGCAGAACTTCTAAATTAGGGTACCCTTCCGGGTCCAAGTGGGAGTTTGCGAAAATAAGGGACCCCGAATACCGATCCCCAAGTAGTAGGATTCCTGTAAAATAAGGACCCCAATGAGGCACGCCTATTTTTCGGAAAAAACTCTGTGCACCTTATAAAGCGTGCCTATATAGTTCCCAAATTCACTTCCAAATACCGGTAAGGTTAAGTAACCTTAATTCGATCTGGTCCATGAAGTGGAAGAATCTCAGCATGTACTACATGATTACCCATATATGAAGGGCCCTTGATGGTGTACCATGGTAAGGTAGTTGTGTTCTTATGCCCTATTAGACAATGGCCATGTTTCGTAGAGCTTCTCTGAAGCGCCTGAACACCCAGGCTTACTGTCCAGACAGCTACTTCTGGATAGCCCCGGCTTGCCGCCACAACACCTCGCAGTGCATTCCTATCGTGGCCGCTGAGTGGGGGTGGATGGTGGATGGTTTCATGGCATGGTCCACAGCTTATGGAATACCGACGGCCATAGGCCTGACACGCACGATCCCATTGTGGCCCAAGAACTTTGGCAACTTTCGCGTGCTGGGCTACTGGTATCGGCCGGATGCAGGGCTGGTGGCCTATGACCCAAGGCCCCTCATCTTCCCACGGCACTCGTCTAGCGAGTGGGCCGAAGGGAACAAGAGGACAGCAGGCATCGGCACCTACATCGGCAAGCTTGCAAACCGCCAGCTGCGCACCCAAGCAGCAAAGGTGCATGGCTTGCTGTCAAACCTGAAGCTCGAGCTGGTAGCCATGGAACGCCCCTAGATCTCCCAGTACACGCTTTCTTCCTTCATTTTGAGGTTTTCCGTTCCATGTAAACTACACAAGACTCAAGAAGTGGTTTTGAGGGGTCCTACCCGACCTAAACCCTCAATCCAGGCCTCCTCTTTCAAGCAGAAGTGGACGGACAAAGCTCATCGCAGGCGCTGAAGAACGTTGCTTGCCAGTGGGTGCTCGCCAATCGTGACTTGGACTGCAGGGGTTTATGGGGGTGGTGAGGGCTTCTGGAGCTAGGGCTTACTTAAACGGCTTAGCAGGGGTTTGTTTCGGGGATCTTTGTGGGAACATCTATCCTCTTCTCCCACCTCAGTGTACTTCATGTTGGTACCTTCAACCTTCATAATATGAAGCATATGAGGCATGAGAGCTCTTTCCTAATGAGCAAGCTGAGCTCTTAGCAAGAACCCTAAACCCTAAACCCTAAACCCTAAACCCTAAACCCTAAACCCTAAACCCCAAACCCTAAACCCTAAACCCTACACCAGAGGATGTTAAGTCCCGAGCAAGACCCTACACATGACTGTACACATGAAGCAGATGCATATGTCTGGTTTCTTCCTTCAAAACAAGACAATCTTACAGAGTGTATTTTCGAGCCTAACACCCTCTAAAGCCCTGAAACCCCAGAAATGCTAGGACCCCTAAAGCCCTAAAAACCCCCTGAAACCCTAAAAACCCCTAAACCGTCCTAACCCCTAGGCGAGAAGTGGCAGAGCTGGGTGCCGCGAGACACCAGTTGCATCCCCGGCTTCGGACTCCGAGTCGCTGGGTTGCGTCTTTTTAGGGCTTTTTAGGTCTTTTAAGGGCTTTTAGGGCTTTTAGGTTTTTTTATTTTTTTGGGGGGGGGGGGGGGGGGGGTTGTTTAGGGTTGTTTTTTAGGGTTTTTAGGGTTTTAGGGTTCTTTAGGGCTTTCAGGGTTTTTAGGGTTGTGGGGTTGTAGGGTTGTAGGTTTTAGGGTTTAGGGTTTGAGGGTTCTTTGGGGCTTTCAGGGGTTTAGGGTTTTGAGGGTTTTAGGGTTTTAGGGTTGCGGGGTGTTAGGGTTTCGGGCTTAGGGTTTGAGGCTCAGGGCTAGGGTTCAGGCTTTAGTTAATGTAGGCTTTAGGCTGCGGTTTTAGTGTTTAGGTTTCGGGGTTCAGGGTTGCTTCAACTTGTGGTCACTTCCCTTCCGATTGTAATACCTCAAAAAGGACCATGTTCAGGAGAGCTTTCCGTATTCAGCTTCTAGAAATGTGGCTTCCTCGTGTTTTGGTAACTGGTAACGCCCTAAACCCTAAACCCTAAACCCTAAACCCTAAACCCTAAACCCAAAAAAGCCCTAAACCCCAAAAAGCCCGAAAAAACCCTGAACCCTAAGCCCTAACACCCCCAAACCTCACCATTAGAACCTTCATCCCGTAACTTCCCGAACTTCCTACCAACCAACCCCCAAACCCTTAACCCTTAACCCTAAACCCTTAACCCTAAACCCTAAACGCTAAACCCTAAACCCTAAACCCTAAACCCTTAACCCTTAACCCTTTACCCTTTACCCTTTTCCCTTGATCCTTTAATTACCCTTTACCCTTAACCCTCAACCCTTAACCCCTAACCCCAAACCCTTAACCCTTAAGCCTTAACCCCTTAACCCCTTAACCCCTTAACCCTAAACCCTAAACCCAGCAGCCCAGGATTCCCAGGGTCTCTTCACCTCCTTGCGCGAGAGTGCGGCGCTCTGCGCTGTTTGTCCACCCGGGATGTTCTCAACTCCGCTGCTGGATGATCTTGGGCAGACCTACACCTGCCAGCGGTGCGATGCCGGCACGCACCAGAACCAAGCAGGAGAGACGTTCTGCATGGACTGCGCAGCAGGCAAGTTCTCAGAGACACCAGGCCGTTCGGCATGCGACTGGGCTTCTACTAGAATATCATGAATTTTCCAAACCCTAAACCCTAAACCTTATATCCTAAACCCTAAACCCTCAGGCGAAGGGTGCACGTTCGGAACCTTCTCAAACTCCTCCGGGGCGACGAGCTGTCTGCCTTGTGGAACCGGAAGCGCTTGGACGACGAGTCGCTACGCGGAAGTCCACGGCGAAGCAAGGCCGGGCGATGGCTGATGTCAGGGTTTAGGGTTTAGGGTTTAAGGTTTAGGGTTTAGGGTTTAGGGTTTAAGGTTTAGGGTTTAGGGTTTAGGGTTTAGGGGCACGAATCCCTCCACGGATACTGGACCTCTTCTGCCGCACCTGAGAGATTCCCCAAACACGACCGCAACATCGCCGTGTGGATCTTTCTCTCATGTTGAGGGTTTTTGGCGTGTATACGGTGCTTGCCCTCCATGTCCTGGGATTTTGTGCCCGCCCTGAGCAGCAGGAGGTAGATTGCCTAGTAGGATTTCGAGGGTATTCAGTGTTCACCTAAACTGAGGTATGACTATATACCCCTAAACACCTAAACAATACCGGGGTTTTGAAAAGGGAAGCCCTGGGCCCTCAAGCCATACAGTCCCCAAGAGACCGCGGGCGCAGGTGGCTCGAAGTCGATGGCGCTGACAATGAGAGCTTCTGCCACTGCCGGCCGAACTTCTTTCTCGACGCAAGTGCTGGCCAGTGTCCCTCTCCCTAGAACTCGCAGCCATCAACCTAGCGTAGACACGCAGACGTCCTCAAACGCGAGAAAACACGGAACCTTCGACCCTGCGAATCCTTGAACCCTGAAATGTGAGAGTCGTGTCCTAAACCCTAAACCCTAAACCCTAAGCCCTAAACCCTAAACCCTAAACCCTACACACTAAACATCAAACCCCAAACCCTGAACCCTGGGAGTGCCTTTGTAAGGCACGGCATGCGCCGAAGGTGCAAACTGCGACCGGATCTTTTTTGGGAAATCATCTTTATGTTTAGGGTTTAGGGTTTAGGGCTTAGGGTTTGGGCTTTAGGGTTTAGGGTTTAGAGTTTCGGGTTTAGGGGTTAGGGTTTAGGGCTAGTTCTACAAGGTAGCAACAAAATAGCGCCTAAAGTTTCTAAAGAGGCTTCCAGCGATGCTATGCACGCTACCATGCGCTGCTAGACTCTAGACCATGCTTGCAGCATACAAGAGTCTACAGTCTACATTTCTCTACTGCGTGAATCTTCAACCCACTATGCCAGAAATCCCTGAACCCTAAGCCCGAAACCCAAAATGAACCCGAAACATCTTTGACCCTAAGCCCTAAACCCTAAACCCAAAACCCTAAACTCAAAACCCTAAACCCGAAACCCTAAACCCTAAACCCTAAACCCTATACCGATGTTTCGTGAGGTGAAGGGGACAGCCAGCTCCTGCTGCATCCTGGCTACTTCTCTGCGGCCACCGACCCTGCCTCGATTTTCCGGTGCTTTGGTCCAGAGGAACTCATCGGCTTAGGGTTTAGGGTTTAGGGTTCAGGGTTTAGGGTTTAGGGTTTAGGGTTTTGGGGTTTGGGGTTTGGGGTTTAGGGTGTAGGGTGTAGGGTGTGCAGGGTTGATGGTGGTGCGCATGGCTGTTGCTGTCTTCTTGGCTTTTCTAAACTTCAGGACTTCAGGTCTTTTTCCCTGGTCTATCTCAGGTGCTACGGTTCCCCCTAAACCTTAACCCCTCACCCCTAACCCCTAAACCCTAAAGTCTTTGCTGAGGGCTCGCTCCCAACACTTGAGAGCCCGAAGCCGTCCGAGCTCCGCGAGCGACCTGAGAGCACTGAATGTGCAGCCCAGGTAAAGCTGGGGCTGCTGGACGCTCCATGGCAAGGCAAGGCCCACACTGGCCGTCAAGGCGGTCGAGCCTTTGAGTGTCAAAGGTCCACCCCTCCCAAGGACCGTTGCTCGTGCAACCCGGGCCCCCACCAAGGACTTGCTGCCCCTCAAGGACCGTTGCCAGCTTCTTGGCTTGCTTCTCCCCGTTTCGAGCCTTCTAGGCTCCCCCCAGACCAGTTTTGAGCCTTTTTGGGCTGCTCCTGAGACCATTCCTGAGCCTTTTCTGGGCTCCTCCCGAACCATTTCTGGGTTTTTTGGGCTCCTCCCGGACCATTTCTGAGTTTTTTGGGCTTCTCCAAGACCATTTCTGCGCGTTTTTGGGCTCCCCCCAGACCATTCCTCAGCCTTTTTGGGCTTCACCCATTTCTGAGCGCTTTTGGTGCTTCTTTGAGCTTCTCCCAGGCTATTTTCTGAGCTTTTCTATGCTTCTCCCAGGCCAGATTTTTGAACTTTTTGGGCTCTCATTTTTTGTGTGTTCACAACAAAGCTTCTCCAAGCCCCCCAATGAGGGGGACCCCAGGATTGGCCTGGACCCACAGTGAAAATGCGAATCTTTAGTACTGAAATCGATGGTTCTGGGAGGTTCCCGGAAGCCCTAGCAGGCCCTCACAAAGGCTTGCGGTAACCTCCAGAAGCATGGGAGGCGAGAGTCGTATCGGGACGCTGGCCCAGTCGAGGGGCAGGCAGGCGCTACCCCTTCGGAAACCCAAACCAATCAGCCACCCCCACGACCTTTTCACAGCCTAGTCTCGGTCAAGGGAGAGTCGTCGGGGCGCTGGCCCGATCGAGGGGCAGGTAACCCAAACCAATCAGCCACCCCCACGACCTTTTCACAGCCTAGTCTTGGTCAAGGGAGAGTCGTATCGGGACGCTGGCCCGGTCGAGGGGCAGCGCTACCCCTTCGGTAACCCAAACTGCTTTGCGTCGAGGGTTTCTGTGGCAAGCGAGGGTCGCAGACAAGGGATGCCAAACGCCCTCAAGAAGCACGTCGGGACGCTGGCCCGGTCGAGGGGCAACGGTACCCCTACGGTAACCCAAACCAATCTGTGAGACACATGCCAGACGCCTTCCGTGAAGGCAGATGAGGGATGCCAAACGCCTTCAAACAAGCCCGTCCCGACTTTGATGATGAAGGGCTATCCCCCCGACCTTTCACAGCCTAGGGGCAGCGTTTTCCACAACTTCACCTCTTTGCGCGAGGCTCAGATCGGGACGGTGCAGAAACAGCGTGCGCAGGGACACAGCGTGCCCCGAAAAAACAAAAACAAGACTTTAGGAACTAAACCCTAAAATAGATATGCCGGGTGGCTTGGGGTGGGCTTACCGCCACGCGATGTTGCGAGCGACCCGGGCAGAGGGGCCGGTTATAGAAAAATAAGGTCAGGCCCCGGAGTCTAGCGAGCAACCCAGAACGTAACACACCCTAAGCCCTAAACCCTAAACCCTAAACCCTAAACCCTAAACCCTCGTCGCCCCAGGTGCTACGGCAACCCAGAGCGCTGCCCAGGTGGGCTTCCAGGAACCTGCGCCACAGGTAGGGACTTGAGCTCGGTGGCTTGGCAGCCCAGCGGTACCCTTTTCCATCGTCATGGCTCAAGGTTCCCTCATAAAGCAACCCAACCCCAAAAAAGGGTTCCCTAAACCCCAAACCCTCAACCCTAAACCCCAAACCCCAAGCCCTAAACCCTAAAAACCTGTCCCGGGGGGGCCCGGGACAGCCCATATTTAGTAAGGAAGCAAGGCAGCAAGGCACAGGACCCAGGGTTCGAACATAGACAGGAAAGGTACAACTTCTTGGTAGCCCAGTGGTACCCTTTACTTTTTTTTTTGTTTCTGGTTTCCCTGATAAAATAACCAACCCCCCTCAAAAAAAAAAGAGGTGCCCTTTATCATAATCTGGCTACGGGGCTACCAAGACCTAAACGACAGGGTCTAGGCTGTAGCCCTTTGCTTAGGGTTTAGGGTTTAGGGTTTAGGGCTTAGGGTTTAGGGTTTAGGGTTTAGGGTTTGTTTTATGATTGGGGTCATCCTGCTCCATGTTACGGGATTCTCTGGGTGGGTGGGTTATCAGAGCCGTAAATGTAACTTTACCATAAAACTGCTCGATCCGAAGATGCTGAACCCTGAGCCCTGAACCCTAAACCCTTCTTAGAATATGGTTACTGGGCTACCAAAGGTGGCCTGCGCACAATGTCTGCCTGGTTTGCACTCCACGGGCTCGGAGTGCGTGCCCTGCAGCGAGGGGGACTACATGCTCCTCTTCCTCCTTGCTGTGATCTTCCTCACGACTTCGGGACTCCTCCATCTCTTCTTGGTACGCTTGGACTCGAACCGTCGCGGCCAGCATGGCAACCTGCTCATGGCGGGCCTGTATGCTACACAGCTCATCAACAGCTTACAGCTGCTGGTCGTTTTGAGGAAGATCGACATCGTCTGGGGATATCCTTTTGACATGATTCTCGAAGCGTTCAGCTTCCTTTCCTTGGAGCACATTCTCTTCTCGCTGAATGCAGTGACCTGTGTGACACCCCCAGCTCCAGGCCTGCAGTTCTTGCTTCAGACAATTGGCCTCCCGGGCTACGTTACTTGGCTTTGGGCCCTGGGATACTTCAATTTTTGTTACCCCAAACCCTAGAAATCCTAGTCCTGCTCAGGAACATATTGCTGCAGATGGTTTAAACATGGCCAACCGAGGTGATGATGGGCCCCGTTCTGGTTCACTTGGCTCTGGTGCTAATGCACCCTCGGTCGAAGCGGCCGCACTTCAACGTTTTCGCTCAGACGCTTGGATCTCTGAGCGTGCTCTTCTTCATCGTGCTCTGTACGTCTGTGGTGACACCCTTCGAGTGCCAGTCTCACCCCAATGGCCTCTTTACGATGCAGTCGCGCATCGGTGCGCTCTGCTACACTAATTCGCACTTCCAACTTTGTGCCCTCGGTGCTTCCTTAGCCCTGCTTCCTGCGGGCTTCCTGGCACTGTGTACTTGGCTGATTTTGGTGGAGTACCCAAGGCGCTTGCAACGCACGGACGTGCGCTTTGTCCGGATGTGCTCCTTCCTTGCAATGCGCTTTCGGCCCGGGGCCGAAGCCTTTGCTGTCTTTGTGCTTATCCGGAATGCGCTCTTTGCTCTCGCACCTGTGCTCCCCTCCGTGAACGCCGGCCTGTTGCTCATCCTCGTCCTCTTGAATAGTAGCATCTTGGCACTCGCGTTCTTCAAACCATGGCGCTCCCGACTTGCGTGCTACACTGACATCTTGGTCTCCAGTGTCTTAGTAGCTGCATGAGTACACTTGCACTCTTTGGCATGTTATAGTCCCCTATTAGAATTGAAAATGTACACGTTTTTTGTGTTTGTGAACGAATTACCCTAAACCTATAAACCCTAAACCCTAAACCCTAAACCCAGCAGCCAAGGTGTGTTTGTCGCCATCCTCTTCCAGGGTAGCTTCTTCGTGAAAGCCGTGGACGGCGCGGCGGCCATGATCTTGTGCTGCTTCTAGGACCCAGAGTAATATAGGGGCCTTGATAATGAGAATAGGGTTTTGGGGGGTTATTATTGTAAACGCTTGCGCACACCGCCTCGGCAGCCGGGGGGGGTGCGTACGGGGGGAAGGGTTGGGTCAGGGGGAAGGAGACCAGATCCGTGTCTGCTTGTTCCAAACGCGTCTCGGCAGGAAGCCGAGGCGAATAGTACATTGATAAAGGGCCCATAAGGGAATGCTACTAGTAATTATTCCGATCCCAAGATAATTAAGGCCCTTCTTTCCCTCTTTTTAGGGTTTGGGGTCCCTTCGTAAGCCCCTTTAAACCAAACGGGGCACCCAGTTTATTCCTAGGTTACTCTTGGGTCCAGGCTTTCTGCTGGTCCTCGTCATTGTCTGCCTGGCTGGCATTGGGGCACTGTCCTTGCTGCAACACTTTTGCGGGAGCGGGGCCAGCTTTGGGTTCTTCATCTGCCATCATAAGAAGTTCACAGGCGGGGGGCTCTTCTGAAAGGCGGTGCCCTTCCCGGGGTCCCAAAGCAGGCCCCAAACCCAAACCCCAAACCCTAAACCCTAAGAAACCCTAAACCCTAAGGCAGCCTCGCGCGCTTGCTCAAGATTGAGCTCCAAGTTCGTGGTTTCCGGGTTTTCCTGGATGCCGACGACCTCACAGACCTGACGCAGCTCCTGCCAATCGTCGCAGAGAAGGCAGTATAACCCTAAACCCTAAACCCTACATCCTACACCCTAAACCCTAAACCCCAAACCCCAAACCGTAAACCTAAACACCAGGACCCAGAGTCGGACCAGATTTCGCTGTTTGTAGGGTTGAGCTTCCCTTGTAAGCACCCCTAAACCAACAAGGGCACCCTGTTTATTCCTAGGTTACTGTCGGGTCTAGAACTGGTGATAACTCTCAATCTTACAGGGGTTCATGCGTACATTATTTTTCTTGAACTACCCAATAGACCCATTCGATTATCAAGAATACTCCCGCTCTAACCCGAGCACCCTAAGCCCGAAATCCTCTAGGCCTGTGTGAGGTGGAGATGTTGCTTGTCCTGGGCACAACTCAGCTCCTGACCCGAAAATGGTGCCTTGCAGAGATCGTAACTGCCAGACTCTGGGATGTTGCACAGGAACTCAAGTTTTGCTTAAGATTTAGCGGTAGGACGTGGGGCCGTTCTTTGGATACAGAAGGATATGGAGTCGGCGAGCACATGACAAGTATTCACGCGATTCCTGCAACCGAGTTTAGATTCGAGCTCCCTAGACCCTGAGACCTAAACCCAAAGCCCTGAAACCCTCAACCCTAAGCCCGAAGCCCGAAGCCCTAAACAGCTGCCCAGGACTCCATCAGGTCCACACGATCCTCGTGGCACTTCCCGATTTCTCGCTGCCCTCCGACCACTTCATCGAGACCTTCCAGAGCGCCAGCGTGTCTGGGATGCCTCGGTGTGCTACCATCTTTTTCCCTGCTGTAGGGTGTATAGGGTTTAGGGCTTAGTGGGTTTAGGGGTTTAGGGGTTTAGGGGTTTCGGGGTTTCGGGGTTTAGGGTTTAGGGGGGCTTAGGGTTTAGAGCTTAGGGTTTAGTGTTTTTTCCTGTTCTAGGGGTTCGTTTGCCGTATAAAGCACTAAACCCTCAAGCCCTAGGAGGTCGGCGAGCTTGCAGCCTACGGCTTTGGCTTGTCGGACATCACCGATGCCCTGAATCTTTGCTTGAACGGGGGAGGTTTGAGGTTTCTGGAATACTCCAAGCAGTTCCTGAAAACCTTTCTTTTCTCAAACCCACAAAACGCAGGCCTCCACGGCATCCTTTTCTGTTAGGGTTTAGGGTTTAGGGTTTGGGGCTTAGGGTTTAGGGTTTAGGGTTTAGGGCTTAGGGTTTAGGGTTTAGGGTTTAGGGTTTAGGGTTAGCGGTTAAGGATGTTATCGCTCCAAGGAGGTGGCTACAGGAAGTGAAGACATTCAGCTGCTTGGATTCACCGGTCACGCAACTGGTTTAGGGTTTAGGGTTTAGGGTTTAGGGTTTAGGGTTTAGGGTTGGAAATTCCCAAACTCTTCCAGAATTCTAAGCCTTAAAGGGCCCCTCCAAATGATATAATAACAACTGGTAAACATACAATATTATACAGACATATGTACATATATACATATATACATATAGGCATATAAAAACAATCTACATCTAAATCTAAGAATAAACTCAAGTATTAAAAAAACACAAACAGATAAACACATAAATAATATACACATACATATATAACATCCCAAAACCCTAAGCCCTAAACGCCCGCCAAAGAGATTCGCCAGGTCTGCAGAAGCCGCTGACGCTGGCAGCCTTGGAGGAGGCGGCGCGGCGTGAAGACTTTCGGGGCTCGTAGGGTTTAGGGTTTAGGGTTTAGGGTTGAAACTTTAGGGTTTAGGGTTGAAAGTTTAGGGTTTATGGTTTAGGGTTGAAAGTTTAAGGTTTAGGGTTTGCTGTACTATGGCGTCGATGCTGTGAAGGTTAGGATGCAGCAGAGGCTTGAAAGCCTCGTCAGGGGCGAAGAGCAGCTCTGGCCCGATTGTGGAAGGCCATCTAACACCTTTCTCCCACCCCCCGCTGTTCAAGGTGGCAAAGCCAGCCTAACCTACTCCTTTTTCATGGCTTCCCCTAGTACCCCCCTCTAGGGCTTGCTATGTAAGAGCTATGGAGGGTGGCGATAAGGGTTGCGGGTTTAGGGTTTAGTGTTTAGGCTCTAGTGGTGATCTTGAGGCCATAAGCCCAGATGAGAGCCTCCTAAACCCTAAATTGGGATGTTCCCCCTTATACTAACACGGCCCTGAATAGTCGAATTGTGCGCATCGTCCATTTGGGGGTGCTTCCCCCTAAACCCGAAACCCCAAACCCTAAACCCTAAGGCTCCAAGAGTTTCAGGTTTGGCTGGGTGCTGGAGGATGAGAATCAACTCGGGGGGGGGGGGGGGGGAGCGCAACTTGGGAAATGCTCAAGTTCCATGCTTACGATTGCCATTATTGCAAGTTTTCCAGTCTTGCAATGGTATCACACGCATGCAAGCCACCCTGAACCCGAAGCCTAAATCCTTTAAAGACCACTTGGAGGTTCAGGGTACGTAAACCCCAACTGGAAGAAAACCATAAGTGTACTGATAATCCATTTATAAGCCCCTTAAGTACCCTAACACGGTAATAATTCGGTTACTATCACTAAACCCTAAACCCTAAACCCTAAACCCTAAACCCTCAACCCTAAACCCTAAACCCTAAACCCTAAACCCTAAACCCTAAACCCTAAACCCTCCTGAACCTCCAAGTACATCCTTCAAAGACACAGCCGAGGTCACCGACCAGGTAGCGGGCGTCAACCGGCCCACGGTCCTACATCCAAGGGACTCAGACTCTTGGATGCTGAGGGTTTAGGGTTTAGGGTTTAGAGTTTAGGGTTTAGGGTTTGGGGTTTGGGGTTTAGGGTTTAGGGTGCTGAGCATGAAAAACTTTCATTCTGGGGTCCAGACTAGGCTGAGTAGGCCCGAGTTCCGCGTTTTTTCGGGGTTTAGGTTCCCTTATATCTAAACCCTAAACCCTAAACCCTAAACCCTAAACCCTAAACCAAAAAGGGGTACCCCTTTACACCAAAACGGGCACCCTTGTATTCCTAGGTTATACTCGTGGGTGAAGTATTTCTTCTGGGGAAACACCGATCCCGACACTTTGAGCCCCGAAAACCCTAAACACTAAACCCTGAACCGTAAACCCTAAACCCTAAACCGGAAGCACCCTCAGTCTTTCCCTCAGCCCGGAAAGGACTGCCGGATCCTTGTGAAACAGGAGAGGGCATGAGGGCTTTTGAGGATTTGGGGTGTCGGGGCCTAGATTGCTTGTTTGGGGGGAGAGGACAAAGAACCTAAAGCTAAGGAATTCTTGTGATTTTTCTCGGGTTTAGGATATCGGGATCGGGACTTAGGATTTTGAGCTTAGGGTTTGGGATTTAGGATTTTGAGCCTAGGGCTTAGGATAGCGTATAGCGTTTCGGGAAGGAGTTTGGGCTCAGGATTTAGGGTTCTAGGCCCCTCGCGTTCTACGGGGCAGGGCTTTGAGAGACAACCCAGGAGAGGGGCTTCAAAGGCTGCCGCTTGGGGGATGTTCCCCTTATACTAACAGTCCTTAATCTACCCCCTATTAGAATCCCCAATTAAGGACTGTTAGTATAGGGGGAGGCTTACTCTACGTAGTGGCCAGAGGTTTAGGGTTTAGGGTTCAGCTAGGACCCAGAGTAGGCCCTTATCCCCTTGTTGGGGGATTAGGTTCCCTTATCAGCCCCTTTGAAGGGAAAAGGGGCACCATTTGATTCCTAGCTTTGGTCAAGTCAGGGTTTAGGGTTTAGGGTTTAGGGTTTAGGGTTTAGGGTTTAGGGTTTGGGGTTTGGGGTTTGGGGTTTAGGGTTTAGGGTTTAGGGTACCCTAAAACCTAGCCTTGAGCCCCTGAATCCCTAAACCCCAGGCCTTGAGGCCCTGAAACCCTAAACCCCAGCAGGCCTTGAGGCCCTGAAACCCTAAACCCCAGGCCTTGAGGCCCTGAAAACCTAAACTCCAGGCCTTGAGGCCCTGAACCCAGGCCCTTGCCTTGAATCACGAATTTTTGGCCTTGAGCCACGAGTTTTTGGCCCACGAGGGGTTTTTGGCCTTGAACCACGAATTCTTGGCCTTGAACCACGATTTTTGGCCTTGAACCGCGAGTTTTTGGCCTTGAACCACAATTTTTTGGCCTTGAGCCACGAACGATTTGGGCCAAACATTCGTGGTTCAAGGCCAACATCCGTGGTTCAAGGCCAAAAACGACGACTTTCCTTGAACCACGAGTTTTTGGCCTTGAACAACGAATTTTTGGCCTTGAACCACGAAGTCATGAAAGTTTACACTATCATATGATAGAGAGATTTAGGGTTTTTGGTTTAGGGGTTTTGGTTTAGGGTTTCCGGTTTCGGGTTTCGGGTTCCGGGACTGCCCAGCTTCCCTGAAGCCTCGTCATCACTCTGCATCGTGCGTTTCGAAGGATCTGTCTGGGAAGTTCATGTCTACCGAGGCATCAGGGCCCATGTACCTATGCAGTATATACTTAGGGTTCTGGGTTTAGGGTTTAGGGTTTAGGGGTTAAGGTTTAGGGTTTAGGGAGGCCCATGTATGTACCCCTAGGCCCTGGCGCCTGGCCGGACCTCCAAGGCTCCCCCACCCTCGCCCTACCAGACTTGAAACCCTAAGCTGCCATGAAGTGCACCTGAAACTACATATCCAACTCAGCCACCTCCTTCGGCCACCTATGAGAGAATGTGCCCGTGTATCTTGGGCACCCCTAGGGCATCTTGCTCAACAACCCCCAGGTGTGCAAAGTATATGGAGCCTTGGACTGATAGATCCTACACCCGATGCCGTTTTAAGTTGCGATCGTGAGGATGACGTGGAGGCCCTTGCTACAGCACACACTCTGCGCCACCTGATGTCTCCACATTGCCTGCATTTGTTCGGCGTTCTTCCGGTGGTATTGACGCAGGCAGATACTGCAGTCGCATGGGCCCTTTCAGCATGCGGTTTGATGGAGATGCCAACCCTAAACCCTAAACCCGACTTCCCGCCAGTTTCTAGAGCTGTTTCCTTGTCGGGCATGTGTGCCCTTCGTTGAAGGCTGTGTTGTGGCCGAGGTCACCACGCCAAGGGCTTCGGGCCAATGGCAGCCGATAATGCTAGTCATGGTTTGCACGCAGCGCCTGACCTGTATTACCTTTTTGTGGCATCAGTCATCTTCATAGCACATACGAAACATGACACCCTAAACCTTGAACCCTAAACCCCAAGAATGCTCAGAATGGTGTTTTTTGTTGCTCGCCTTCATCGGCTATCCATGCCGGTTCCCAAGGAACTGCCTGACCTCTCCAGACATCATGCGTTGGATTCTGGAGGCCGGCATTCCCTACCAAGAACATATAAATGTTTAGGGCTTAGGGTTTTCTACATCCTAAACCCTAAGCCCGAAACCCAAAGTTCCTTGACAAGACGGTCTCTAGAGGCCTACCACGCGGCATCCCGGTGCCGTATCTTGCCCGTGCTCGCGGACGAGGCTTGGCAGGCTCTTGAGTTTGGGCCTTAGGGTTTAGGGTTTTAGGGATGCTTTTCGATTTTCCCCTGCTTGGGTTCAAAAGGACCTCCTGAACCCCAAAAAGAATCCCTAAACAATAGAGAACCTGATAGGATCCACGAACCCGAATGCAGACACGTGCCACCAACTTCGGCAAGAAAGATGCGACGTGAAGACACGACACGGGGACAGGACACAAAGACACGACACGGAGACACGACACGAGGTCGGGGTCGGGGGTGTCGGGGGGTCGGGGTCACAAAAGCATGACACGGAGGGGGGGGGGCGGCCGGGAAGCGGGCTGCTGGGGGTCAGGGGGGGGGTTGTGGGTGTCAGGACGGAATGGAGGGGACTCGCGAACGCTTGCGGACGCTTCCCAGACCCCTGGCAGGATCCAACAAGTAGATCCCCTTCAGGGTTCCTGACAATGACCCAATAGTAGTATGGGGTACTAATTGGGGGTTCTACTTTTTGGATCCTTGCAGACATCTGGGATTGCCAGCAGTTGCCAACGCTTGCGGGCACTTGGGCGTCAACTCCCTGACCCCCAGAACAACGAGGTTAGGGTTTAGGGTTTAGAGTTTAGGGTTTAGGGTTTAGGGTTTGAAAGGGTTTAGGCCTCAAAACGAGAACCCTTCTGCTACTTAGTCGATATAACTTTGGTAGCCGAAAGGGCAAAAGAGGGTCCCTGCAAAAAAAGTACAGTAACCAACTCCAACAAGGGTACCCTTATTATGAGATGGTTACTGGGCTACCAAGATAAACACCTAAACCCTAAACCCTAAGCCCCCCCAAACAAAAGCCGGAGAGAAGTGCCCGTAACCGAGCCCTAGACACCCTGAGAGCCCTAAACAAATCCCCGAAAGATTTGTTTCAAGTGGGTTTAGGGCCTAGGGATTAGGTGTAAATTGGGTTTAGGGTTTAGGTTTTAGGGTTTAGGGTTTAGGGCTTAGTTCAACCGAGGAAGACTATTGTATGCCGACATCCTCACGGGCATTCAACACGCTCGTCGAGGACTTGAGTTGCGAGAATGCTTCCAAGTATGCACCCTGGCACTTGCACCCACAGGCTGTCGTGGGGTTTATTGGGTTTGGGGTTTAGAGTTTAGGCTTTAGGCTTTAGGGCTTAGAGGAGTCGAGAATCGGGGGGATTTAGGGGTTTTAGGGGGTTTTAGGGGGTTTAGGGGTTTAAGGGGGTTTAGGGGAGATTTTTCTCTTAGGCACCAATGGCTCCTATTTTCAAGAAATGCCTGATATTCGTAAGGGTTTTTTGGCACCCTTTGGGGAGTAGTATACTTTTGTACCTATGGCTTGCTCTCCCCTTTAAGTTGCTTGAGGTTTGTCTGGGTTCCTGGTGTTTTATAATTATAATTACAAACCGAAACCATAAGCCCTAAACTCCAAACTTTTGTCACTTCAAAGCCTAGGTACAGGTGGCTTGGCTCTGGATGGTATCTTTTCATACTTAGGGTTTAGGGTTAGGGCTTCGGGCTCCAAACTCTTTTGTTGTTTCGAGCCTATTTGGGGATTTCCATACTTCGCCATTGTTGTTTTTCGAAGAGGACCCCCCCCCATTTTGGGAAGAACCCAGGTCCTCAAGGCGATCTTCATGCAAATCGCTGTGCACTTCTTGCCCAGGTCCTCTTCAGAAAAGGCCCTTGAGGCAAATGCCCAGCAAGTGACCATGCGGCTCCGAGCCGAGCATGCGGCCTACTTGGGCTCTCTCATGGACATGTCGTGGTTTACGTCGCAGCGGTCTCACAGCTTGGCCGAGTTGGTAGAGCAGCAGCAGGACATCGCGTCCAAGAGCGCCGAGTCACTGGAGTCACTTGAGCCACTGGAAGTCGAGCCTGAGGAAGAGTGCGTCAAGCAAGAAGGCAGCGGCACCGCAGTGCCCGAGTACCTGCTTGAAGCCATGCAAGAGGAGCTGACGGAAGTAGCGATTTCCTAACTGGCTCCGCGGGGAGGGCATGCAATGTGTGTCTGACAAATGTTCTTGGGGCCCACACCTCCTTGAGTGAGCGTTCTGCCTTAGAGTCTTAGAGCAGACCTGAAAAGTGTATATATATATATGTATATATATATATATACATATGTATAAAAAACACATAAATAAGTAAAAAAGTATATATATATATACACATACATATATATATATATGTATGTATACACATATTATAACAGGCCCAATTGCGAAGGGGTATCGGGCTCTCAAGATGTGGCGGCTCCTAGAAAATTCCCCCTTCTTGCTTCTAAAACGACTGCAAATGCAGGGTGCTCGAAACAAAGGGCTCGTGGACCCTCTCCTGGGCACTCATCGGTTTAGGGTTTTTTGATTTGGGGTTTAGGGGGTTTTGAGGTTCAAACCCCTAAGTCTAGTAGAGCACCCCGAAGCTCCGAAACCCTAAGCCCTAAGCCCCAAGCCCTACACTTAGCACCTCTCCACTGCGCGGCTCTTTCTCGCTCTCGCTATCTCTCTCTCTCTCTCTCTTTCGCTCTCTCTCTCTCTCTCCCTCCCTCCCTCTCTCTCTCTCTCTCGCTCTCTCTCTCTCTCTCTCTCTCTCTCTCTCGGTGGGGTTGATCTTAAAGGTCCCTTTGGGAGTAGGGTTTAGGGTTGAGAGTTGAGGGTTTAGGGTTTAGGGTTTCGGGTTTCGGGTGTTTACTTTCGGGAATTTTTTCGTCACTTCTCTATCATAGTGGTCCTTCTTGGGGGACTGATTATAAGGAGCCCCTAGTATTTAGGGTATCCCGAAAAATGGAGATGATTTAGAGAACTGACCATGTTTCCAATGGGTTGTAAGAGAAGTATGGGCATGTTTCGAGCCATGTCGGTTTTGTTTCAATGGGGGGCTTGACAGCATTGCTGTAGGCTGCCGCAGGCTCAGACACAAAACGCACACACGCACATAGACACAGAGAGAGAGAGAGAGACACGGAGAGACAGAGAAAACACAATCAGAAAGCACAAGCACGTGGAAACACCATACTTTTATGGCATTGTCGGTATAGTCCTTGTGTTTCTTAACTAGACCCTGGACTCCATGATCTAACCTTAATCCCAAAGACCCAAGCAGACCCCATACCCCTATTCTTGGGCGCTGGGCCCTTTGGAGATTAAAACGCCCTGAACCCGAGCCTGACAGTCTTTTGAGGGCTCTTAACTACTTTCCAGGAACCCTAAACCCTAAACCCTAAACCCTAAACCCTATAAACCCACCCTGAACCCCAAACCTTTTTAACAATTCCAGGTGGAAGCCGTGCTCAGGGCTAAGGGACCGGGAGAACACACAAGTTCTTCAGGGCCCTCCCTCCCTTCCCCTTGACAAGGCGCAACGCCCATGCTTGATGTCCGAGGGTCCGCAGGACCCACTCTCTCTCTCTCTCTCTGTCTCGCTCTCTTTCTTCTCTGTGCAATAGATGTTGGTTTCGATGGGGTTTGAGAGCGTTGCCGTAGGTTGCCGCAGGCTCAGAAAAAATAAAAAAACATGCACACACACAAAGAACGAGCGCCTTAAACTTAGAATCCCCCTCCCCCAGCCTATCTAAAGGTCATCGATTGTATGCAAGTGCCTCTTCCCATACTCGGAGGTTCATGGTACTCTGTAACCCAATTGTGACTGTACTTATAGCTCAATTATAACCCTAATTAGGGTACTTAAGTGGCTTTTGTTGTGGGATATAACTATCACTTCTAATTGGTTACTAACTGCCCTGAACCTCCAAGATAAGGAGGTGTTAAGAAAGCCATGCTGCGCAGCCATGCCAGTGCCCGCACCAGTCTGAAGCAGTGGTGCGCGGCGCTTCTACTTTTTGTTATTTCTGGTTCCGAGCTCTGCTTACCTGATGCCATCCCCGAAGGGGAGCGTCAGAACGTGCTTGATTCGGTGGGCAGGGAGATCCCGATCAAGTTCATAGTTTTCGACTGGAATGCAGCAGAGGTCCTTTCCTCCATCGCCAAAATCCTGGTGGAGGAGGCGCTTGGATACCATGCTGTCTTTGATGAGCACAGGCCGTTCACTGTCATGGAAGTCGTATTGAAATTGTCCGGATGCCTGGACAGCACCTGCAACGACATGCAGATCAGTGACAGCCACGTGGCTCTTGACTGCTGGCTTGGGTCCGCAGGTACCGACACAGATACGTTCATGCAGCAGAATCCTGGTAAGGCTCCGGAAGATCTTGGTTCCATCGGTTACGAAGGGGAGGAAGCGCTGGTCGTTGCAGGGAAGCTCGTTGACGAAGCCTATGAGCATTCCGGCTTCGCCTTGGACTTCTACAGGTCCTACAACCAGTCCCACTACAGTGCTAGGAAGCACTTTGACGGGATAGCAGACCTGCCTCGTGAGGACTCCGATGTGACAATCCAGGCAACCCAAAAGGCCCATCGTAGCCCGAAACCCTAAACCCTCAAACCTCAGGACTTCTTGCGATGTGACGATCCAGTCGCCATCTTTGTCGACACGCCTTACATGAATGACTACGCGCGCTGGTCAGGCCAGTTTCCTTTTATTCGGGGGAGGTTTTGGGTTCTCGCAGGTTTCACAGGAATTTGCTTGAATCTTCGGGTAGTTACACGGTCCCTTAGTATGGACCCTTAAACGGAGACCCCTTATATGGTGCGGTGTCGCCCAGTCCCCCCGCGCCTTGTGGTCCCTGTGGTTGAAGTGGGGGAGGGGGGGAGATGTGATTTAGGGTTTAGGGCTTCGGGGTTTTAGGGTTTAAGGGTTTAAGGTTCTAGAGTTGTAGGGCTTAAGCTTTTCAAGGTTTTGTGGGTTTTGTGTGGGGCTTGAAAGGGTTTTAAGGGTTTAAGGGTAAAGGCTTAGGGTATGGGTTATAGGGTTGAGCTTTGCTGGAACGGGGGGGTGGAAGGGGGGGGGGAGGTGAAAAGAGCTGACACGCCCGAGGGACGAGGGTATTATTAAGGCCTCGGAGCCAATCTTCCCCCAGAAACCCGGAAAACCCCCCGAGGGACGAGGGTGGCAAGGAACGATATATACCCCCTATACCCAGACATCAGAACCCTGTAAAGGAGGTACGGGAATATATTCAGGGCCCATGTAGCTACCTTTAGATTTAAGGTTTTTTGTGTTTGGGATTGATACGACGTTTTCAAATTAAACCCTAAACCCTAAACCCTAAACCCTAAGCCCTTGTGAAACTCACCCTTGATACGACCCGCTCAACGTTAGCCGAGGTCGCACCTCCTTAGTTTTTATTCGTTTGTACATGTCTTGTTCGAAGGCGCCATGGGCTCACTAGCAAAATGTTAGGCTGCGTAGTAAGTCGCCAAATCAGTCGGGTGTTTTCCACCCAAAACCCTAAACCCTAAACCTTTCACATTTTGGGAGCTTCGGAGCTAATTAGGGGTAGTTTGAACGCCATTGGGAAGGCGATACGGATGGGCTGCTGGCGGTGGAAGGTGGCTACCATGCCTCTGGGTTGCTGTTGCCTACGAGGGTTTAGGGTTTAGGGCTTAGGGTTCAGGGTTCGAAGGTTTAGGGTTTAGGGTTTAGGGTTTAGGGTTTAGGGTTTGGTGTATCCTCCCCCAATGGAAGCTCTAGGGCACCTACGAACATACTTCCCGAACAAGAACCGATAAGGCTAAGAAAGTTTTAGCCGATTTATATAAGCATCAGACAAAACCAATGTAAACCCAATCTTGTCTTGACGTTGCATGCCTTCCTTTTTTTGTACTTCCCCTAGTTTACCGAAGAGATGCTGTATTTGTCAGGTTACTAATCCTCGAACATCGATATTTTCCCTCCAAGCAAGTTGCTCAAGATTCATGACCATATTTGGGTAACTTCATGTAAACCCCTTAACGCCCAGGCTTACTGTCCGGACGGTTACTTCTGGATAGCGCCGGCTTGCCGCCACAACACCTCAGAGTGCATTCCCATCGTAGGCGAAAGGTGGGGGTGGATGGTGGATGCGTATATGGCGTGGTCCACAGCTTACGGGATTCCGACGGCCATAGGCCTGACACGCACGACCCCGTTGTGGCCAAAGAACTTTGCCAACTTCCGCGTGCTGGCTTACTGGTATCGGCCGGACGCAAGCCTCCTGGCCTATGACCCCCGACCGATCAACTTCCCGCGGCACTCGCCTAGCGAGTGGGCTCAAGGGAACAAGAGAACAGCCGGCATCGGGACCTACATCGGCACGCTTGTAAACCGCCAGTTGTCCACCCAAGCGAAGAAGGTTCACGGCCTGCTGTCGAACCTGAAGCTCGAGCTGGTAGACATTGAGCGTCTCTAGATCTCAGCCAGTTTTGTTTTCCCGCGTTCTTGGGGTAGTCAAAACTAAATAAGAATTGAGAGAATGGGCTGGGGCGTGTGTGTCCTACCTTGAGGCCTCCTCTTGCAAGCCGACGTGGATGGACAAAGTTCATCGCAGGCTCTGAGGAACGTGGCTTGCCAGTGGGTGCTCGCCAACCGTGACTAGGTCAAAGGTTAAACCCTAAACCATAAACCCTATAGGGGCATTTCGAGTTCGTTGGGCTCAAAGGGGTCGATCGGGGTTGAAACATGGGGTACTGGGTTGTTCTCGGGGTTCATAGGGCTTGTAGGTGTATAGGGGTTTCCACGGCGTTTGGAACTGATCGGGACTTGTAAGGGGCTATCGGGTTTATAGGGTTGAGAGAGTTTACGAAACCCTAAGGCCCAAACCCGGGGGTTCATAGGGGTTTAAGTTGCAATTCTAGGCCCTTGACATGTGACTTAAACCCGAAGACCCTAGCCTAAACCAGTCCAAATCCTTAAACCCTAAACCCTAACTCCCGAAACCCTAAAGCCTCATTCCCGAAACCCTAAAACCCTAAATGCTTAGAACCCCTGCAAAAACCCTAGAAGCCCAAAACCCTAAGACCCGACAGCCCTAAACCCCTAAAACCCCAAAGCCCTAACACCCTAAAACCCTGAAACCCCAAAACCTTAAAGGGTTTAGGGTTTGGGGTTTAGGGTTAGGGTTTAGGGTTTAGGGACCATTTTAACCCCAAGCTAGGCGAGAAGTGGCAGAGCTGGGTGCCGCGAGACACCAGTTGCATCCCCGGCTTCGGACTCCGAGTCACTGGGTGGCGATTTTTAGGGCTTTTTAGGGCTGTAGGATTGTAGTTTAAGGGTTTAAGGGTTTTAGGGGTCTTTAGGGTCTTTAGGGTTTTTTAGGTTTTTTTTTTAGGGCTTTTTAGGGCTTTCAGGGTTTTTGGGGTTGTAGGGTTGTAGGGTTTAGGGTTTTAGGTTGCGTCTTTCGGGCTTTTTAGGGCTTTCAGGGTTTTTAGGGTTTTTAGGGTTTTTAGGGTTTTTAGGGTTTTTAGGGTTTTTAGGGTTTTTAGGGTTTTTAGGGTTGTAGGGTTGTAGGGTTGCGTCTTTCGGGCTTTTTAAGGGCTGTAGGATTGTAGTTTAAGGGTTTAAGTGTTTTCAGGGTTTTTTAGGGTTTTTAGGGTTTTGTTGTTTTAGGGTTTAGGGCTGTAGGATTGCAGGGTTTAAGAGTTCAGGGTTGTAGGATTGTAGGGTTCAAGGGTTTTATGGTTTAGGGTTGTAGGATTGCAGGGTTTAAGGGTTTTGTGGTTTTAGGGTTTGGAGCTGTAGGATTGCAGGGTTTAAGGGTTTCAGGGTCTAGGGGTGTAGGATTGTAGGGTTTAAGGGTTTTAGGGTTGTAGGATTGTAGGGTTTAAGGGATTTCGGGTTTAGGGTTGTCGGATTGCAGGGTTTATGGGTTTAAGGGTTTGAGGGTTTTAGGGTTTTAGGGTTGTAGGATTGTTCGGTTTAAGGTGTTAGGATTTTAGGGTTTTAGGGTTGTGTAGGGTTTTAGGGTTTAAGGGTTTTAGGGTTTAGGGTTGTAGGATTGTAGGGTTTGAGGGTTTTTTCCCTAGGGCGCAGGGTTTAGGGCTTGGAAAGTTGTAGGGTTTAAGGGCTTTAGGGTTTAGCGCTGGAGGGTTTAGGGTTTGAGGGTTTTTTTGGATTTAGGGGTCCCTCTATAAGTTTGGGTCTTTTGCCTTGGTTCAGATATGCTAATTAACCGGGACTGCTCCTTTTTGGGGGGTAACTTCTTGCAAGGTTCTTAGTGGCAGCCCAGGATTCAGAGGGTCTTTTCACCTCCTTGCGCGAGAGTGCGGCGCTCTGCGCTGTCTGTCCACCCGGGATGTTCTCAACTCCACTGCTGGATGATCTTGGGCAGACCTACACCTGCCAGCAGTGCGATGCCGGCACGCACCAGAACCAAGCAGGAGAGACGTTCTGCATGAACTGCGCAGCAGGCAAGTTTTCAGAGACACCAGGCCGTTCGGAATGCGACTGGGCTCTTGAGCGATGTACGTCTCCACTTTTCTTGGATTCTTGAGGTTCCTCTCTTTTACAAAAAGTTCACATGAACCCACCGAGTATGCGCTCTTTTTCCCTGTTCTTGCCTTTTTAGAGCCGAGGCGAAGGGTGCACGTTTGGAACCTTCTCAAACTCCTCCGGGGCGACGAGCTGCCAGTCTTGTGGAAATGGAAGCGCCTGGACGACGAGTCGCTACGCGGAAGTCCGCGGCGAAGCAAGGTGGGAGAATGGCTCCTTCAGGGGTTTAGAGTGCGGGGTTTTGGGTTTTGGGTTTAGGTTCAGGGGTTTAGGGTGTAGGGATTGGGGCTTTGAAGCCCTTTAAGGCAAATATAACCCCCCCCCCCCCCAAAAAAAAAAAAAAAACAAAAACAACAAACAGAGGCCAAACTCCCGTTAGCTAGCACAGGTGGATCGAAGTCGATGGCGCTGACAACGAGAGCTTCTGCCACTGCCGGCCGAACTTCTACCTCGACACAAGTGCTGGTCAATGTCCCTCGCCCTACGGTACAAATCGAAACTATCAGCCTTATAAGCCCTAAACATCCTGAGGCCATAAGCATTAAAATCATAAAGCCTAAACCCTTAATCCCTAAATCCCTAAACCCTTAATCATGAATTAATGCCGCCCTGGACCTAAAAACTATCAGCCTTACAAGGCCAAAAAACCCTCAAGCCCTAAACCTCTACACATGAAGCCCTGAAGCCCGAAACCCTAAACCCTACGCGCAACTAGGACCTGGAAGGGGAACGGGGGGCTTAGGAAGATTCCCGTCAGGCCTTTGGGGGTTTAGGGTTTAGGGTTTAGATTTAGGGCATAGGTTGAGGGCTTAGGGCTTAGGTTTAGGGTTTGGGGTTTGAGGTTTGGTTGGTGCCTTTGCCAGGCATGGAATGCACAGAAGGTGCAAACTGCGACTGGATCGTTTTTGGAAATTTGCATTTTGCCTAGGATCCGGAGTAGGCCCTGATTCCCTTGTTTTAGGGTTTAGGTTCCCTTCTAAACCCCTTTGAAACAACAAGGGCACCCTTTTTATTCTTCGGTCATTCTTGGGTCTAGTTGCAGTGTCTTCTACAAGGGGGCCTGAAGCAATAGCCCAGAAACCGACCCCATCTTATGCTCTATTCAACTCCATTCTACTATACTGATGCCATGGTTTGATTTGTGCTATACTTGGATACAAGTAGACCATACTACACTACACAATGATATACATATATATATATATGTTATATGCTACCCCCCCCCCCCAAAGATCCACCGTTTTAGAGACTTGCAATAGACAACACAGTTACTGGAGCATGTTTTCTCGTTTCTCCTGACCAGACGTACCACCACCTGAAACATCCTGAAAAACACAAATATATCAGTAAAGTATCGAATCTACACAAAACCTTCTGGCGTACTTACCCCCTTTCACTAGTCTTTCACTCCAAACCACCCTAAACCCTCGCTATATTAAGATATAACAGCACGCAACCACCTGAAGCACCCTGAACAACAAGAATGCAGCCGTAAAGTAGCCAAAAAAACATCTGGCGGTCTCAGGGAATAGTGAGAAGATATTTGCTCACAGTATTCTCGCGTCCCCGGCACTTACAGCAGATGTTTTTTTTTTGCATCACCTTATGCCTTCTTTATTATATGTGCTCGATATACAATACTTGTACCCTAATACATACATGATGTGGGTGATTCTTCTACTTTCTCTTTGCATTTTCACAGGAGGCAAGCCCTGCAAACATAGGCATAACCCTTCGGGATTTGAGGTTTAGGGATTTAAGTCTCAAGCCCTTCAGGGTGATAAGGTTCTACTCCTATAGACATTGACAATGCCTATACCTCAAACCCGAAACCTGTCAACCGTATAATTGGGGTCTAAACCCCATAGGGCTAACCCCGTGACGGTTTTAGAGATAAACCCTGAAAAGACCCAAAACCTTTCAACGTCATAGGGTTTAATGGTTTACAAACCTAAGGTCTGGGCATGTATACCTTCAGCTCCTATGGGGTTAAAACCTTTGAGCCTTTTTGGGCCCTATAGGTCTTTAGGGTTCAGACCCTAAACGTTTAGGGCTGAGGTAGGTTTAAATGCCTCAACCTTAAGCCTAAATGGGCTTGGGTCTAGATGCCGAAATCACAGGGGCTTACGGTTCTACTCCTAGGTACTGCCTAAACCTTAAGCCAATAGGGTTGAAACACTGTAGGGCTAACTCCGTGACGGTTTTAGACCTTTAAGCCCTATAGGGTTTGATGGCTTACAAACCTAAGGTCTGGGCATGTATACCTTCAGCTCCTATGGGGTTAAAACCTTTGAGCCTTTTTTGGGCCCTATAGGTCTTTAGGGTTCAGACCCTAAACGTTTAGGGCTGAGGTTTACACGCCTCAACCTTAAGCCTAAATGGGCTTGGGTTTAAATGCCTAAATCACAGGGGCTTACGGTTCTACTCCTAGGTACTGCCTAAACCGTAAGCCAATAGGGTTGAAACCCTCTAGGGCTAACTCCGTGACGGTGTTAAAGATAAGCCCTGCAAAAAGCTCAAAACCTTTAAACCCTATAGGCTTTAATGGCTTACAAACCTAAGGTCTGGGTATGAAGACCTTCAGCGCCTGTAGGGTTAGAACCTTTGAGCCTTTTTGGGCCCTATAGGGCTTTCGAGTTCGGTCTGAGCGGTTTAAATGCATCAACCTTAAACCCTAAGGTTTGGACCTAAACACCCCCCCGCCCTCCCCTTCGCTCAGCTCCACTGCGGTCTTATTCTCTAAAACCTATTGGTTTAAGGGTTTAGTGTTTCAAAGAGAAGCCCCGAAACCCTTTCGGGTTAAGCAATTAAACCCAAACCCTTAACTTGTAAACCCTATATGGTTAAGGTTTAAAGGTTTAGGGTTTAAGATTTAGGCATTTACACATAAGTCGGCAATTAAACCTAAACCTTTAAGCTTTGAACCCCCGCTTATCAGCAAACTTAATGCGTGTAAGCCATGAGTGAGTGAGTCGGTGGTCGAGTGAGTGTGGGTTGATGCGTCAGTGGGTCAGTGAATTTGTGGTGGTGGAAATGAGCCAGTGAATCCTAGAGCCAGAGCATGGAGAGGAAATGAGTCCGCGACTCCCAGATTTTAGTACGGAGTGTTGATGGTGGGCTTAGGGTTTTCCTGCATTTAAACTTGCAGAAAAAACTACGTTAAATGCGGGCAGACCCCAGGAACCAAGAACCAAGAACCAAGATGCTCAGAACTCTTGATTCGTGGTTCTTGGTTCCTGGGGCTGGGCTGCATGCAAAACCTCGCACGGCCTCTGGTGCATTTTTTAGTTTTTTTGGTTTCGTGGTGATGGGTGTCAATCAGAACCTCATGGGGGATGAAGGACCTGCTGGGTGGTAGGGTTTCTTAAAATCGCTGCAGCTGCGTGGCCGTCATGAAGGTCGGAGCTCAGGGCCTAGTGGTTTTTGAATTGGGTTGAGGCCCGGCCTAAAGGTTCATATGAACTAACTCTAATAAGGGGTTATTGAGTGGATGGACATCACGTAATCTGTTGGAAAAGAAACCTGAAAATGGCACAACCTAATTAGCTTAGCCTTCGATCCACTTTCACAGAAATAGTAGAAACTTAGTCCAGATGCCACCTTAGCCAGCACGGTTTCTCATAGAACATGGCATGGGGCGTGGGGCCTGATAATCCTGGCCCTCGTAGTAGAAACTCCGCGTCCTGGGACCCTTGAAACTTGGAGGCCTCTAATCAAAATGGCACCCCCCCTGAGTGTTGACCCGGCCTCGTGGTCAGGTTGCTGGACTTTGCTGTGACGCCTGAGCCTGGCGCCCGTCTTTCTTTTTTGGGTGTCAGGGTGTTTCCGGGTGTACGGGGACAGGTCTTTAGGGCTTGGTTTTTAGGGTTTACAGTTGGGTTGGGGAGGGGCTCGGCGCCTGCCAGGGCATGAAGGGCGTAAGTTTAATTTAGCCCCTGCTCCTCAGGTACTTAAATGGCCTTTGCTTCGGGAGAGAGAGAGAGTGTGTGTGTGTGTGCGCAATGAAGATCTCACCTGCCGAGGGTAGAGTTTGCAGGATGTGGCAGCCGCAGTTCGGCTTTGCGTTGGCGGCGATGTCATGCATTTGCCCCTACCCAGGATAAGCTCTGATTAAGCCTGCTTAAGTAAGACCTTAATAAAGTCTTGGCATTGTGTATGGGTTCTTGGAGTTTAGGGCTTTTGGGTTTATGGGTCTAGGAGCCACAGAAGGCCTGTGTGCACAAACCAGGTTTTGAGTTTAGGGATTGTGGGGTTTAGGGTTTAGGGATTGAGATTTGGGGTTTAGGGGTTTACGTCCCTGGGGTCAAAGTAGGGGTTTCGATATGTAGGGCTTGGGGCCCTTGGGGTATAGGGTTTAGGGATTGAGAAGATTTGGTGTTTAGGGGGTTTAAGTCTCTGGGGTCTAACTAGGGGTTTCGATATGTAGAGCTTGGGCTTTGGTTTAGTTTAGACCCGTCCCTAAGACGTTAGTAGGACCGGCCTCCTAGATGCGACCGTAAGCCAACGGATAGAGGCTCCTGAGATCTCTTCCCCAACCCATGTAAATCCTTCCTGGTATCCTCCACTCCCAACCCTTCACTGTGGAACTACCCCGACCCCTGCGGCAGGCTGTCGCTGCCAGCATGCGCGACGCGTGGAGCCAATGGGGTTTGGGGCTTAGGGATTTTGGGGTGTAGAGGGTGAGTCACAGAAAGGGTGCAGTGGGTTTAGGGTTTAATGAGTTTGTTAAGTGTAAGCCCTACTTTTTGCATCCGGACTTGGGCAGTCGGCCGGGAATGGCCTAAGCCTTAAGCCCTAAACTTTGATTTTCGCATCCCTTTTGGTAGCCAAAGCCCCACGCCCTGAGCCATAAGCCCCAAGCCCCAAGCCCCAAGCCCCAAGCCCCAAGCCCAAACCCTTTGGGGACTTGGGTGGTCGGCCGAAAATGGCCTAAGCGCCAAGCCCTAAACCCTAACCCCACAGTCTCTAAACCCTAAACCCTGGTTTGTGCATTGAGGCCGGCCCCTGGACCGGATTTGGGCAATCGACCGGGAATGGCCTTAAACCCTAAGCCCTAAACCCTAGACCCTAGACCTAAACCGTAACCCCACAGTCTCTAAATCCAAAACCCTGGTTTGTGCATTGAGGCCGGCCCCTTAAACCGCGCACAAGCCCAAAACCTCAAACCCCACACCCCAAAATCTTTATGCGGGTTGAGGTATTTTGAGTTTAGGGTTCACGGTCTACTGGCCAGGCGAGACCCAAAAGCGCTTGGAGGCCAGCAGCGCAGGAGCAGGCCTGTATGGTTTAGGGTTTAGGGCTTAAGATTTCGATTGAGTTAGGCTTTCGATTGAGTTGGGATTTCGATTGAGTTGGGCCTTCATTGCCTGGAGGCCACCCCTTCAATGCGTACCGATGGCACGTCGTGCGCCCAAGGGTCAAAACATGGCTTCGGGTCCTGGCCCTTGCGAAGGTGCATGTTCTGCGTGGGGCAGATCCTGCTACCCTTGAGTCCAGGCCACAGGGTGGCTCCGACGGGTCGCTTGATTTGATCGCTACGATCCCTTCCTAAGACCTTGAGGCTTGAACCATATACCATGCTAGATTCCAACCTTTCAGCTAGAGCATCAGCCTGTATTGATCAGATACACCAAGGTTTTTGTGCGCCCAAGGGTCATATTTGGGCTGCCAAGGGTGCACAGGTCTGAGTTTCTTGATTGAAACGACACCTCTCTTCCGTGGACCTTGAGCCCGAGACCATACCCCAGGTTACAGGGTTAGATGTCGGGGTTCCGGGTTAAAGATGGGCCCTTAGACCCTGAACCCTAGACCGTGCTGGGTTGGAGCCCTTAGCAACAGCCTCTGTTATCTGAACGCACCGCTAAACTTGGACGATAAGACATAACATGGG